GAACCTGCGCACACGACGACAAGGCTTGGTTCAACTTCAGTCAAGAGAGACAAACGTTATACTACAGATGTCAAAGGTATTAATCGCGGAGGGACTCGGCTACAACTTACTGAGCGTCAGCCAGTTGATGACAAAAGGCATTCACCTCGAAGCAGACAGCACCACCCAGGAGTTCAAGTTGTACCACGGGAGAGGAGGTCTCTACATCGGCAAAGCAGTCTTGAAAAACAATGTCTTCGTTCTCGACTTCGTTCCAGACCTCGGCACCGCCGACAGCGACGGCATCGTCACCTTCACGTCTTGGACACATCCACCTGATCTTGACCCAGACTTCAGCCCCGGCGGTTTCTGGTATTCACACACGATACCTGAAGCAGAAAGAACAAGAGCGTTAGCAACAATTCAACATTCGGCAGCAGCAGAAACAACATCGGCAGCAGCAGAGACAGCAGCAGAGACAACATCGGTAGCAGCAGAGACAACATCGGCAGCAGCAGAGACAACAACGGCAGCAGCAGAGACAACGGAGACAACAGCGGCAACATCAACACCAATCGCTGGTCCTTCAACGGCACCGATCTTCGTCGATGACACACCACCGACACCCGCGCAACAACTGCACCCAGCACCACGAGAAGTTCATCGAAGCGCCAACTTCACCGCCAGCTTCTACTCCAACTCCGACATGTACCGACGTTCACCCGGACACCGCGCCAGCGAAGAAATCTGGCATGCACGAATGGGACACCCAAGCAACACAACGTTAAACAACACGATAAGAGCAGGATTGCTCGACAAAGATTCGCTCCTACTACATGACGGAAGAGAACTCCAACGAGCAAAAGGGACATGCTTCACATGTCCTGAAGCCGACTTACCGCATCAACCGTTTGTCCCTCACCACAACCCGAGTGCACCAGCATACGCACCGCTTGAAAAGGTGTACAGTGACATCCTGTACAACCGCGTACCAGGACAAGGAGCTTACAACTACACCATCACCTTCATCGACGCCGCCACCCGATACGTTTGGCACCTGAACCTTCCGAGTCGCGACATGGCTTTCGAAGCCTTCGTCGCCTGGCTTCCAGTAGCAGAACGAGAGTCCGGAGTGAAACTAAAGAGTTCTCAGTTAGATGGAGGCGGAGAATACACCTCACAACGCTTCAAGGACTACCTGGCAGAGAAGGGAATCAAGAGGCTCATCTCCCTTCCTTACGCCCATCAACAGCAGGGTGTAGCAGAAAGGATGAACAGGACCCTCCAGAACACCATGCGCAAGCTGCTACGTGGCATGCGGCTACCCAACCACCAGTGGCCCGAAGCAATGGACCACGCCGTCATGCTGCACAACTTGCTCTCGTCATCATCGCTCCCGAACAATGCATCACCGCATCTGCTGTGGACAGGAAAATTGGGCAGCACAAAAATGTTACGAGTCTTCGGCTGCATGGTACAGTACCGACCCCATCTGCATGAGCCGACCGATTCTCCCAACGCGCACAGTGGGGACTACACCTGGGCATCGAAAAGAATTACAACGCATGGAAGATTTTCGACGTCCACACCAAGGAAACAGTGGCAGCACGTGATGTGATTTTCTACGAACGACTCACTCTCGACTCCTACCTAGCCAACGTGGAAGAACAACGCGACCTCACCAGTGGACTTCGTGGAGACCGAGCCTTCGCTTCCGCAGCAGACGAAGCTGACTTGGACGAGCAGAACGTGGACACAGCCTCGGAGGAAGCCGGACCTCTCCCGTACTGCTCCGTCGATGTCCCAATGGATGACGAAAACCCTCGCGAAAGCGTCAACGCCGAAGTATTTTACCACTTCGCCGACAACGGTTACGTTACACCTGCAGAAGTCAACACCAACGAAGCAGAACGCATAGGGCCCAACTTCATACCCGACCCAGAAGCAGGTGACGAAGCAGCCTATCCCGCGGATACCACACTCCCCCGCTACACACAGAGTGGCCTCCAGATACTCGGCCTCGTCACCGCAGTCCACGGCACTGTGATTCCTAAGGAGCCTGCGACAGTTCAGCAGGCTCTGGGGGGGGAGCACAGGGAAAAGTGGCGCGAAGCCATGGACAGGGAATTGAAGGCATTAGAGGAGCGCAACACCTGGAAAGTTGTCCCTATCGGAGTGGCACGAAACAAGACTATACTCACCGGGAAGTGGGTCTTCCGAGTGAAAACAAAAGCAGACGGCACCATCGACAAATTCAAAGCACGCTGGGTCGTACGTGGCTTCGACCAAGAACACGGACGCGACTTTACCGAGACATACGCTCTGGTCAGCCGACATACCTCACTGCGAATCCTCCTCGCGATCGCCGCCATGAAGAAGAAGAAGAAGTTGCGACAAATCGACGTCGCAAACGCATTCCTCTACGCACCTGTTGACGCAGAAATCTTCGTCGAATTACCGCACGGCTCCAACGGTGAGCCCAATCAAATCTGTCAGCTGTTGAAGTCGCTCTACGGCATCAAGCAAGCTCCGCGGCTATGGCAACAATACCTGCACGCTCGCCTCATTCGCATCGGCTTTAAACAACTACCGCATGATCAGGGCACGTACCGGCTCACGAAGAACACCGACTACATCCTGTTAATCGTCTACGTAGACGATCTACTCTACATCGGCTCGACCGACGGCATCACAACCTGGTTCGAAGGGGAGCTACAGAAGGACCTCACGCTCACGGTCTCATCTACCGTCACACAGTACCTCGGTCTCAACATCCGAGAAGAGGAAGACGTGATCCACCTCAATGCCGCGAAATACGCAGACACCATCGCCAAGCGCTTCGCACTCACACCGACCGCCATCTCCACACCGTACCGCTACACGACAGGAAGCAGCAAGTGAAGCTCCGCTCTACTTAAGCCCGCCGACATACGCGACTACCAAAGGAAACTGGGTTGCCTTCTTTTCGCAGCCGTCGCCTGCCGCCCGGACCTATCGTACTCTGCAAGTCAGCTCGCCACCTACCTCAAGAAGCCTGAAGCGGAACACCTAGCTGAACTCGACAGCGCTCTTCACTACCTCGTCAGCACCCCGACGATCGGCCTAACTTACCACAAGAACGCAACTACACCGCCTAAGTTAATCGGCTACGTCGACGCCGATCACGCTGGCGACTCCGACAACAGGCGCTCCCGCACCGGCTACATCTACCGCCTCGAACCTATCGGACCTATCTCTCTGTTTTAATCAATCTACTTTGCCCTCACATACTAGCGCAAGGTGGTTCAACTACTTCATTAAAGGTTCCGCTATTACATCAGTCCTACCCAGAGTTCACCCCTGCAAAGATCCTAAGGGCTATTTCTCAGCCCAACAATTTTTTTCTGCAATAGCCTGGATTGTGACCATCTAGTCCAAGTTTTTCCCTTATGGTGGTGGACTCACTGCTTGAATGTCCAGGATGTCAAATGAGCTTCTTTTGACTTCATGCAATTCTCATAGCACCAAAACCCCATAATCCAGAATTTGAGGTGTAGGGACACTGGCGTCAACTTGATTAAAGTGGCCCGTACGCCTTGCAACCCTGGACTGCGAGAGTCATGAGGACAACAACACCTTTCTAATAGACGTGTTTAATAAGGGATATTTCTGCTGTATTTACCATTGATTGATATATCCAGACATACTAGTAGCATGTTCCGTTAGTGTAAGGAATTTTCTCGGATTCCTTACTAGGTCACACTGTACGCGTACAACATCGGTTTTCGGAAAACCAGGCTCGGTCCGCCGACCTCGCCTTCCGAGCCACCACCGCATCGCCTTCGGGTTTTCCAACCCCGAACCTGCACCCAACCATCTCGCGACCACGCGACCTCGGCCTAGCTAGCATTGCTATATAGTCCTAGGCCTCGTTGTTTGCTCAGACGTTGTATTCACTTCCGCGTTATTGAATTCTGCGCACTCTTCTCTTTCACAACTCATAACAGTTAGCGTCAACGAAACAGTATGGAGACACATACTGTAGCAAGCTATTCGATTGGCTGATCTAGCAGTCCAATCAGTACATTTCTTGAGTGATGGTGGTGGTTTGGAGGATTCGAGGGAATCGAGAAAATTCGGTCCAACGGGAATTTCAAGAAAGCGCACAATTTTGCACCTCACCAGCAGCAGTCCGCTCGCTAAGAGCACATCCATAGGGAGTTGCGCGTCGACCACATGCCCCTGTTGCCTGCTTTTCCCTGCCATGGGGCTTCGCTAGACAGTCAAGCCAAGCAAACAAACATGAGCAGTTTTGCTCTACACTGGGCTTGTTTGATGTTGTACAAGGAACTTCGGTTTGGTATGAAAGATGCCTTGGCCCTTGGCTGCCTCTGGGCTGGTGCGTTATGCTATTGCTACAGTATGTGGAAAGACAACTGCTGTCTGCTTCATTCATTCTGCTTCAACATTCTTGTGCCATGGGAGGAGGGTGAACCTTTTGTTGAGAAGAAGCGGTAGAGTACGATGTTGTGCACTCTGAAGCGGTTTTTCTGCTTCTCCACTTTTGACCGCTACTCACCAGCCCGAACATTCATGCATGAACCGTGCAACAGACTTTCCACCCTAACTCCATTTTCTATCGGCCATGGCCAATCCATGGCTCGTCCTCTATCGTTTCAGTAGAGAAAGGCGTTTCGGTTGCATAAGTTCACATAGCGTCAGCAATTCTTTATGGTTCATTACGTTATCAGACTGTACACCAATTTTGAGAATCTAGGGAATAATGTTTTTCTCCTACGAACTGTTCCCACATCTATCAATGGCCATGTCTCGGATAATCTGATCCAAAACACAACCGCAACTGGTGAATTGGGCTGTAAACATGTCCCGTCTCGCATCCCTCTCATGTCATCCCCGATAGTAAGCACTTCGGCAAGAATGACAAAGTCCGTTCGATCGAAACCAGCGCTCCTGAGGCTCGCCTAGTGTCGTCGTCACCAGCAATTGTTAGGGACGCAGATCAAACAGCTTATAGAGGAATCATGAGCGGCGTCTCTCACGCGACACCCAGCCGCGGCGTGCTGATGGGCAACGGATCCGAGCCCAACCGGCGAAACGGAACTATCGGTGTGTCTCCTGCTAAGCTGGCGAAGACGGCGGATGCAGGTTTGAATGGACAAATGAGTGATGTTCCCCAAAATAACGTGCTTATAAGGAGCGGTGGTAATGATTCTAGTGGTGGGAAGGGCCGAGCGTTAAAGAAGTCAGGTTCCTTGACCGTTGGAAGCGATCCAGTGGCAACGCAAAAGTCGCAGGCCCAGTCGCAGGTGGCGTCGCAGCTGTCATCGCAAGTCCTGCCGCAGTCGCACATCCACGCCATGGACGGAAATAGATTACTGTCGCAGTCGTCGGGGCTAAGACTGGCTGAGCTCTACGCATTGGCGATGCAGCAGAAACAGGAAACCCATAGCGATGGAAATGGGGACATGGGAGGTGGTCAAGGGGATGAGGAACCCGAAAGATCAGCGGATTTGTACAGTAATGACCTTGGGTTCCGTGCGAGCGAGGCTGATACGAGACCGGTATCTTCTGGGCAGGTGCATCAGGAGCCGAAGACCCTGGCGAGGCAGCAACAGGTTTCCCTGCTTATGCAGCAGTCGCAGCAGCAGTCGCAGTCGCAGGGGCAGTCACCGGCGCATTCGCAGCAGCATCGCCGTTCCCCTTCACCCTTCCTTCGCCAGGAGCCGCAAGGGGATGCATCGGTACAAGTCCATGCGCAGCAGTCGGGAGGGCGGAAAAGCGGAGAAGGCGGAACAGAGGCACCTGAACGGGCAGTCACCTCAGCAGCTGAACGGGTGGCACGAGTCGATCTGACAGCAGGCGGTGCCGTTGCAACAGCTGCAGCAGGAGGCAGAGCAGCGGCCGGCTTCCCCAGCACAGCCAGCATTGGGGAGGTGGTCCCGGAGGCAGATCGTAGAGCAGCAGGACGGACAGGAGGGGCGGGAGGGGTAGGAGGGACCGGAGGGACAGGAGTGGTACGAGGGGCTGGAGGCGTAGGATTGACATCAGAGGCATCATTAGGCGGAGGAGCCACAGGAGGAGTTGCAACAGGTGCGGAATTGTACAAAGAGGTGGAAATGGTGGTGGACAGGGGGCGGTCGCACCTGCTGTCCGAAGCAGCACGGGCGAAGCACGACGCAGCGAGGCTGAGAGCTGACGTGTGGCACATGTGGCGGGAGGTGGCGAGAGCTAAAGAAGACGTGGCACGGGCGCGGGAAGAAGGGGCGAGAATGGCAGAGAAAGCAGCAGGGTCGTTAGAGCAGGCAGCCGTTGCACTGGAGCTTGCAGCAGCCTGCGAACATGCAGTGGGGGCTTGTGTGGCGAAAGAAGGGGATGGGAGCGCTGGGATTCGCGTGGTTGTAAGAGTTGACAATGTTGTGGGTGCAGGGTCGTTCGGGGGAGGTCCAGCAGGAACGGGAGCCACCTCCACTCCCTCGTCGGCAGCTTCCTCACCACGGTCCCTCCATGCCGAGCCGTTTGGTTCGGCCGTACGTGGCTCGTCGGGTCGGGGTAACCGATCCTTCCCATCCGTTGTGCCTATCCGGCTGCCCACTCGGATGACTGGCGCGCAGGCTTGGAACCTGCCTCGCAGCGCCACCTGCACGCCAAACAAAACCTCTGCGTCAGCTTTGCCTCCCCCATCCCCCAACACTCTCAGAAAGAAGCTATCCATATGGAGTGTGGCCTCTGGTTCGTCTGCCGCTGCCCCTGCCAGTGCTGCAGCAGCTGGAGCTGACGGTTCTGCTAGTATGGGCGCTGCTGCTAGTGCTGCTGCAGCCAGTGCTGCTGCTGACACTGCCTCTGGATCGGATTCTCCTTTTGGAGGATTTCCTTTAGGGTCAGGAAGCGGTGGTAGTGGTGTTGGGCTAGGGAGCGGCCCTGGGAGCAACAGTAGCAGGCCTGGTAGTGCGTCCAGTCGCCCCGGCAGTGGGAGAATGAGATTAGTTGCAGGGGGGGGTAGTGCCGGCAGTGGTGTCATGGGGAGTGGGAGTGAGGGTGCGTTTCAGCAACAAACGCAGCAGGTGCTGGTAGTACATCAAAGGTCTCACTCGCAGCAGCAGCAGCTTCTGCGGCTGCAGCAACAACAGCAGCAGCTGGGAAACAGCATTGCTTCGTCCGGACCTGCTGCCCAGGCTTGGCCGAGCCACAAGAGACCTGGTAGTTGTGACGGCTATCTCTCGTCCAATCAGACGTCTCCGCGAGCTGACTCGGTGGCGGACGTAGGAGATTCTGATGGCAGTGATGCCAAGGGGTTGGAGGGTTCTGTGGCTGGTGCGGGAAGTGGTGATCTCTCTGCCGTTGCTTCTTCTGCTGCTACATCTGGAGCAGCGGCAGGAGCCCCTGCAGTACGCCGGATATCCTCCGCTGTAGGTATGGGAGCAGCAGGTTCGGGAGGCGCTGGCCGGTCTGGTCCGGGTTCAGGCCCGATTGCGGTTCGGGGAAGTCGGGTTTTAAGGAAGATCAGTACCTCTCCAATGAGAGTCTTGCAAGCTGTCAACTTGCCCCCTTCGGGGTCAGCAGCAGCAGGGGCCGCTCCAGGGGCAGTGGTGGGAGCTGCTTGGGCAGATGGAGGAGGAGTTATTGGAGGAGGGCGAGGAGGGGGGCTTATGGGTAAAACACGGGGGGCGAGCAACAGTGTTCCTGTTCCTCCTGCTGCTGCTGCCGGTTCTGCTGTTGCTGGTGGTTCTGTGGGTTCTGCTGCTGCTGGCGGTGGTTCTGGTGGCGGGACAGGGGCAGGTTTGGGCCGTGGAGTGGGCAGTGCTGCAGTTGCTGCTGGGAGTGCGGGAGGCAGAGGTGCCACGCGAGGGGTGGCTGGAAGAGGAGGGCTGGCGGTGGGTGGTATGAGTGGCGGTGGAGGGGGGGTTGGAGGAGGAGGGGGCGGAGGAGGGGGAGGAGTAGGGGGAGGAGGAGGTGGAGGAGGAGGGGCAGGAGTAGTAAGCAGGCCTGGCAGCTCTGGTAGTATGCGGAGCATGGGCAGGGGAGGAGGCGACAGGGGAGCTGCGGAGGTAGGAGTAGGAGGAGGAGGAGGAGGAGGAGGAGGAGGAGGAGGAGGAGGAGGAGGAGGAGGAGGAGGAGGAGGAGGAGGAGGAGGAGGAGGAGGAGGAGGAGGAGGAGGAAGGATGATGGTGAAATCTGGAAGTCTCTCTGGCAGGACGCCTCCTAGTGCTCATGACTCGGTGGCTCGTAGCGACAGCAGCAGAAGCGAGGAGCAGAAGATGCCAAGACAAGCAGGCCCTCCCACAGGTGGTGCGCCTGTCATGAGTGCAGAGGTCACAAAGGTGGTGAACCGTGCAGGTCCCAGTGATGCTGATGCCGCTGCTAGCGCTGCTGTTGCAGCTGCAGGTTCAGAAAGCGGAGGAGGGGAGAACAGAGGAGGAGGGGGAGGAGGGCAAGCAGGAGGGGTGGAAAATGTGGGAAAGCAAGGTGCCGTCGTAGCTGCAGCATCAAGGGAATCAGCAGGAATGGTTGGAGCTGCCACGGGGGCAAGTGCAGGAGCAGCAGTGGGGGGAACAGCAGGCACAGGTGGTGCGAGCGTTGGTCTTGTGCGGGGAAACAGCCTGCAAAAGGGAAGCACTAACCTGTACAGAGCAGGGTCAGGCGTGCACATGTCCATGCATATGAACATGCCAATGCACATGCACATGCCCATGCACATGCCTATGGCCATTCCCGGTGCCCGTGACAGTCATGCACTGTTACGAACAGGGTCTGGGATGGTAATGCAGATGCCTCTGCCACATGTGACTGGGGGAGTAGCAGCAGGGTCTGCTGCTGGTGCTAGCGCATTAGGGTATGGGATGTATGGAGGTACGGGTACTGCTGGTGCAGGTGCAGCAGGGGCAGGGAGGGGAGGTGGTGGTAGTGGTGCTGGTGCTGGTGATATGAACCACCCCTTTCACCGCTCCACGTCCCTTGGTGTCTCAGAAGGCAGGCTAATGGCCAGAGCAGCAGCGTATGGAGGTGCCATGATGCGCCCTCCCATGCACGCCATGCCCATGCCTGCTCATGCCGCCGCTGCTGCCGGTGGAGCAATGGGAGCAGCCGCTGGTTCTGCTGCTCCTGGAATGGCTGCTGCTGCAGCAGCAGCAGCAGCGCCAGGAGGAGCGTTCTGGCAGCGGTCTATGTCCTCTGCGCATCAGCACATGCACGCGATGCAGTATGGCCATTTGCCGGTGCCCCTGGGTCCTCTTGGCTTCCCCACAGGCCATTCTGCCGCGTCATTGCTGCGCCATGGTAGTGGACAGTTCTTCCAGCCATACCCTGTAGGGGCGTTCCTACCACCCGGTACCTCTGCTGCTGCTGCTAATCCCTCTGCTGCTAATGCCGCCGCCGCAGCTGCTGCTGCTGCTGGTGCTACTGCTGCTGGTGCTGGTGGTGCCGCTGCAGCTTCTAGCACTGGTTCGGCAGCAGCGGGCCATTCTGAAGCACCAGGGCATACAGCCAACCATGCGCAGCCACCCTCCGGCACCTCTGCTGCTGCTGCAGCCATGACACAAGGCCTGGCTTGGCAAACCGCGTCCCAAGCCGCTCCTGCTGCTGGTGGCGGTGCTGCTGGTGCTGGTGGTGCTGGTGCTGGTGCTCCGAATGCTGCATCTGAGGCATGGGGAAGGAGCAGCACGATTGGAGCATCAAGGCATGGCTTCAGCTCCGCACACTTGCCGCGTGGCATGGGTGCGATGGGTTATGGGGCAGGTGCGGGCATGAACGCGAACATGAATATGGGCATGGGCATGGGCATGGGTGGCATGGGGATGGGCATGGGCAATGGCATGAATCTGGCTCGGTCCATGAGCATGGATCCAATACAAAAGGCCAAATGGAAGCAGGGCCTGAGGCTGAACATTCCAAAGGATGGCAGTGACGATGATGGGGAGGGGGGCAAGGCTGCCATGGGAGGGGCAGCAGCAGCAGCCCATGCAGCAGCGTCGGCTGGAAGAGCAGCGGCGGCCGCATCAGCAGTTGCAGAAACGCAGGCAGCATCCGCAGCAGCGCGGGGAAGAACTGCGGACTCAGCAGCAGGAGAAGGAGCAGGAGCAGGAGGAGGAGGTAGAGGAGGAGGGGGAGCACGAGGCAGTATATTCAAGGATCCTGCGATCATCCAACGGCTGGGGGGACTCGCATCAGGAAGCTCTGCAGCGGCGGCGGGGGGGAGGGGAGGGGTGCAGTTGTTGGGCGTTGGGGGGGATGGGAACCGGTTGCTGTCACGCGCTCAGAGCTGCAGTGTTGCAGAGCTGGACTTGATGCCTCCGGAGCTCATGAAAACCACGTCCTTCCATGCGCATAGTGGCCAGGGCAAGGAGTTTTTCCTCCGGCAAGTCACACTCCCCGCACAGCGCACGTCTGCTGCTGATGAGGTGTCTTCTTCTGCTGCAGGGCCTGCTGCGTCTTTTGAGGCGCCTCTAAAGGCCTCTGCTGCAAGAACTGCTGTGTCGGCTGTGTCTGGTGGTGCTGATGGTCGTGCTGGGGGAAGGGTGGTCAAAGCAACTAGATCAGCCAGTAGTGGTGGTGGTGATGGTGGTGGTGGTGGGGTCAGCAGTGGTGGTGCTAGGACCGTTGCAGCCCTTGCTGCTCCTGCTGGGAAAGCAGCACTACCTGCTGGTACGGTATCAGCATCTGGAGCTGCAGCAAACAAGGGCCAAGCGAGCATAAGAATGAGGAAAAGTGGCAGCATTACTGGTAGTAGTAGCAACCAGGGAGGCGGCAGTAATCGTGAGGGTGGAGGCAGCAGCAGCGCTTTGAAGAGAGCGGAAGGCCAGAACTTAGGGAGAGTTGAGCAGCAGAGGATGGTTAAAGGGGGGGAAATAAGGAGAAAAGAGGGAGGCGAGAGAATGAGGAGGGATGGAAGTGAGGGGAGAAGTGAAGCTGGAGAGAGTAGGGCAAGAAGCGCAGGCTTCGTACCTGCCTTACCTGCTGAGTCTTCCTCCTCTTTCTCCCCATCTTCAACATGCTCCAGCCCCCCTCCTTCTGCACGCAGAGGAAGGAGTGTGATTGTCGATCCAGAGGGGAGAGACAGGAGAGGGATGAGGGAGAAAGCAGTCGGGGCGGTGTCTGGAGTAAGCAGCTCTCTAGGGCAGGCTTTGAGGGGAGGGGGGAGAGGGGCAGGTGGAGGGACAGGGAGGGCTGCAGCAGGCAGTGGAGGCGCAATCGGTGTTCAGAATAGAGTGGCAGGAAGGGGAGGTGAGGTGGGTGGGAGAGACAGACCTTCTGTAGAGGACACTGCGTCTTCATCTTTGCAGTCTGATTATGGTGATGAGGAGGAGGAGCTGGAGGAAGGTGAGGTGCAGGATGAGGGTGTGAGTGTGGAGGACAATGGTAGTGACAATGATGGGAGATATGAAGATTTAGAAGCTGCAGGGGAAGATGACGGGGATGAGGAGGATGGAGAAGAGGGTGGTGATGCTGAAGCAAGCGATGGTGGGGAAGAATGGGAGGGAGAGGGAAGTAACAGTGAAGGTGGGGATTTGTGATGCGTGGGAAAGCAATGTGCAGAATATGGTAAGTAAGCTAGTTGCTGGCACTTGAAATGGTGGCTTCGAAAGGGGCTTTGAATGGCAAGGGTACTGGTGTTGGTGTAATGTAGACAATGATTCCGGTAAGTGAGGGTTGTCTTGAATATAAAATTTAACGATAACTGGCTGGAAAAACTCTTCATAGTGACACAATACGAAGTTCTACATCTGTCTGTACTTTCTGATTGAAACCCATTCGCCTTCGGCTTCTGTGGTTTTCATATGTTTTGAGTCAACGAGGACAGCCGATGAAGTAGGTCCACCCACAGCTAAATTCTTTGCTTTGACCCCCTTCGACGACAGCGGTCAATTTTCTTCCGCCTAACCGACGATGGCGGTTTCTTTGTGACTTCCTGGACCTGGTTGTCTGTGCAGTCGGTCCCGGGAAAATGTTTTAAAAGGCAAGGAAGTTCAATATATTGTTAGGGACGGATTAATTTGAGCAATTTTGTTGTCTACATAATGTCTAGACAACCTCGAACATCCACCTGCCAAGTTTGAAGGGTGTGCCCGGGAGTCAAGTTCCTGCATTTTCGCAAGAATTTCTCGCAGAGCTTCTGCTGACTGCCGCGTGCATGCCAAGTCTGGGGGGCGAAATTGCATTGCGGAATGCATCCGCAAAAGGAGTTTCACATCACACCACCGCACCGTACAGTACCACATGCATCAGCTGGCGCTCCACTAGCGTCAGCCAGTCTCCCCGCCGCTGGCAAACCCGCCCCTGCCTGCGTTTGGTTCGTTCCATACCATTACCATCTCGTCGCGGCTTGGTGCTGCCGCGACCCCATTGTCTCCTTTTGGTGACTCTTCCGCATCCCCCACTGTCTCCGCGCCTTGGAACCTTCTTTCATGCCCATTCCCCCCTCCTCCACAACCAGGGGCGCCTGTTTCTGTGTGCTCATCTCAACTCAGCCTTGAGACATCCGTCAATCTTCACTGGCCCAACAAGAAAGCAGGGACCGCCATGTAATTTCCGTCCCATCGCTGTTCCGTTGCTCGAGTTTCCTGTTCCAAGTTAATGTCAACTATATGTTACGAACCGTATGTCAACAAGCGGAATAATTTGTTTTCGTACTTCCGTGAGATTGGCTGGAGCTGGAGAACCTATTGACATGGACGTTTCCTGGTAGATTCACAAGCTCGAAATCGTCACTCTCGCAATGGCGACTCACAAATTCACTCCTTGCAAGCAAAGCCTCTCTAAAGGACTACGCGCAACACGAAACATCATGCAGCAGCGGATATTTATCCTCAAAAAGAGTAGCCCTTTTCTGCGCGTTCACGCATCAGCCATGCTGCTGCTGCTGCTTGTCCTGCCGCTCCTGCTCGCATCGCTACCAGGTTTAGACGCAACTTGCTGCGGAACAACCAACGGTCCTGCAGTTTCCAGCAAAAGTAGCGTTAATATTCGAAGGGGAGTCGGCCGAAGGGCGCGGTTCATGGGCTGGCATGGTAGCATCAGCGGCCCTGGTACTACGTCTCGTACTAAAATTGGTATTAGAGAAGCGAGTAGACGCAATAGCGGCGGCAGCAGCAGCAGCAACAGGGGGAGCGGCAGCAGTAGCGTCACTCGAGGCCAATATACTGGCGGAACAATGGACGTTAATACGGGAGGAAGAATCCTCGAAGCTTCAATTTCGTCAGATGATGGACTGTTTTCCGCAGCGCAAAGCTCATCCGGTGATTTATCTGGTAAATCCGACATTAGCCTGTAAGAATGTTGATCAATTCTCGTTGATTTGCTACACATCCGGGCCCACCACTTTGTACCTCTCCCGTTCCCTTTGTGGCTTTGTTGCATGTCCTTCCTTATCCATCCTCCGTTGCACGTTCTCTCGCCGTCGACAGCCAGGCAATCTTTCCATCCTTCCTCCGCCCTCCCTTGCGCGTCCCTATCTCTTTCGCTCCCCTAGCCAAACTCATCTTTACCCCATCCCCACCTTTCAATTCCCCGTTCCTCTTCCCTTCCAATAAAATTCCCTCCCCGCGCTCCTCAATTCCCCGTTTAACCCCTCCCATCTCTCCTCACCCTCCGTTCCTTCCGCCCATTGCCTTCCCCTCCCCGCAGCCTCCGCCAACCTCCTTTCCAAACCCAGTTTTGAGGGCGGCAGCTGGGACAACTATGGCAGCGCCGTCACTTCCGCCTGCTTCCCCCCTTCCGCCTCTGCTGCCCCCTCCGGCCCGCTCCTGGGCACATGCGGAATCCGCCTCGCGCCGTCCTGCTCATCTTCGCCAGGAGACTCCTGCTGGGGCGCCCTGGGTCAGGTGGTTCCAACAGAGCCAGGTGCCATGTACCAGCTGCAGTTTTACTTTACTGTTCCAGCACCCTCCTCCTCCTCTTCCTCTTCCTCTTCCTCCTCCCTCTACACGCCACCGTTCGAGCTTCAAGTGAAGATCAGCGGAGCACCAGTGCTCTTCACATCGGATTTTACCACCGCCGCAACTGACACTAGCAGCACCAGCAGCCAGAGCAGCGTGGGAGGGTTGGTGCCGGGCCGATTCGCCATGGGGTCTGTGCTGTTTGCTGCGGGGGGGACAGGCAACACGAGCATTGTGTTCCAGGTCAACAGCACGGCCGTCAGCACTATCATTGATGCTGCTGTGCTCACCAGAATCTACCGCAATGGTACGCGTACGTGCGCCTACTGCTGCTGCTGCTGCTACTGTTGCTGCTGGTGGCCCTTGTCTCTGCTGCGTCGTTCATTTCGTTTTTTTTTCCTCTCTCCCTCCCTCGTCCTTCATTGGTATTTCTGGCACTCCAATTATACGTCCTTCTGTAAGCTCGCTAATTCCATAAAATATCTCCTCCTGATGCTCCCCCATTCCACCCACCTTCCAACAGTGACGTCCCTCTTTTCGTTCCCAGCTCCTCCCTCCTCCTCTCCTCCTCCCCCGTCCCCCTCCTCGTCCTTCATCTTTTCCGGCTCTGCTTCTCCCAGCCCTGTCTTTGCAACCAGCCCCACCTCCTTGCGCCTCACACCACCCATCGCTGCCGCTGCCTCTCCCACTGATCCTGGCGCTGGTAACACCGGTGGTGGTGACACTAGCGGTGGTGGTAACCCAGCAGGCAGTGAGGGCAACTACTCTCTTCTTTCCACTGGCGCCGCTTTCTTCCCCTTGCCTCTGGACCTTCTCTCTCTCCCACCCAGCCCCCCGCCCTCCTCCTCTTCCTCCTCCTCCTCCTCTGCTTGCTCATCAAACTCCTTCCTTTCGTCCTTCACTTTCACCGCACTCCCCACACCCACTTCCTCCTCCTCCTCTCCCACGCCCGTGCCCTCTGGTGCACTCTCCTTCACTCTCTCCTCCACGCCAACAACTGGATCAGGAGCATCCTCCCTTGCATTTGCACGCATGTGCCACGGCCCACCCCCTGCTCCGCCCTCTTTCTCCTCCCCTCCACCCCCTTCCTCCTCCTCCCCCTCCTCCTCACCGTCATCGTCCCCCTGGTTCCCTTTCCTAGCTCCTGGGAACGTGTCCATTATGCCGTGCCTTCCAAGCGTTGCTGTCCTTCTGAATAGCTGGCAGGATAATTCGCTTGGCACTGCTGACAGCAGCAGCAGCAGCAGTAGCAGTAGTGGCAGCAGCAGCAGTGGCAGCAGCAGCAGTGATGGTGCTGGTGACAGTGCCAGTGCTCAAGAGACAGTAGGTCTGGCTTTCAACTTCGATGCCAGCCCTCTCTTTTCAACGCCTGCCACGGACCTACTTGCTGCTGCAGCAACTACCAGCAGCAGCAGCAGCAGCACGTTTCTCGACGGACAGCCGCACACAGTCACAGTAGAGTACTGTGCCCCTACCCGCACTCTCTCTGTTGCCCTCTTCTCTCTCCCTTCTCCAACCGACCCCTCCCCGCCTTCTGGAGGTTCCACCACCGGTCCTCCTGCCTCCTGCCCTCTCTCACAGTACGTCGCCTCTACCAGCAGCAGCAGCAGCAGCAGCAGCAGCAGCAGCAGCAGCAGCGGTAGCAGTACGGGCAGCGTTTTCCAAGCACCGTTGGACCTCTGTACTGCTCTGTGGCCTGACACTCTCAGCAGTGGCGCATGGCCGTTATATGCTGGTCTAGCAGCAACCGCAGTGGGATTCGAGTATCAGATCTCCCAATGGAGTTTCCAAGGTGTGTGGGAGATAGAGAGTCGTGGCATGGATACGGTTGTTTGGCTTGAATGGCTGCAATACCAGGGTTCAGTCGCATGGCAGGAAGACATGGGCACAGGCTGAGACTTCTCGAAAAGCGTCTAGGTTAGCGCTGTGGCAATAACACAAGGGTGGGGTGGGTGCGTATGGTTTCAAGGGGTGCAATGCAATGTACCTTGCCTGGCGTCTAAAAATTGAGCAAACTCAACCACAAATATCTAAACGCATCGCCCCTCTCCTCTCCTCCCCTCCTCCCGTCCTCCCCCCTTCACTCCCTTTCCCCTTGTTTCTACCACAGCTTTTCCACAACAGGAAGGCGCCCCCACAGGCCCACCCACAGGCGCCCCTCCGGTGACCTCCAGTCCAGCAGGCATGGCATGGGGTGCGATCAGCAACGGGGGGTTCGAGTCTGTGCTGCTGCGCCCCTCACACGCCCTCACTGCACCGGACTCCACCTCTCTCCCTTACTGGCGCCTCACTCAAGGCAACGTGTCCGTCCTAGTGACACCCCCCCCTTCCTCCTCCTCCTCCCCCTCCTCCTCCTCATCGTCGTCCTCCAATTCTTCCACTTCTCCTTCCTCCTCCTCCTCTTCCTCCTCTTCCTCCTCCTCTTCCTCCTCCTCTTCCTCCTCTTCCTCCTCCTCTTCCTCCTCCTCTTCCTCCTCCTCTTCCTCCTCCTCCACCGCCCCTGATGCTGGTTGGCTTCCAGTGGCCAATATCCCCCTGCGCCCCCTCATTGGCTCATCCAGTCTCGTCCTCCTCAGCTGCCCGAATATTTTTTTCCTCGGGCAGGCATGGCCAGGATCAGAGTGCACGTCGGGCAGCGTAGAGCAAGAAATAACAGTTTCATCCGGGCAGCAGTATAACCTGACTCTATCAGTGTTTGGGACCCCTGGAGCGTCTGTTGAGGTACAAGTCAAGGGGAATGGTTTGGAGGGAACCACAGGAGGAGAGATTGGTTTATTCAAAACACTCACCCTTCAATGTTCAGATACCGTTATCCCCTCTCCATCCTCCTCTTTCTCATCCTCCTCCTCTTCCTCCTCCACTACTTCGTCCCCCTCTCCCTCTCCGTCTCCTCCCACTGAGTGTAATGCCTCCACTGTAGTATACATCCAATCCTCCTTCTCCCTCACTCCCTCTTCCACCTCGGCCACTGTCACCCTCACGCCTCTACCTCCACCAGCCACCACTGCAGCAGGGAGGGAAGGAAGCAGCAGCAGCATTCAAGCAAGCAGTAGCGGTACCAGCAGTGTTACCAGCAGTGACAGTGTGCGCACGTTCTTTGTTGCAGTTGACGGCGTTTCGCTCCTGCCGTTCTCTTCCAATGGCAAGATCCTTGTTGCTTTCAACCTTAATCGAATCATTCCACAGAATGGCTTGTGTCTGGCCGTTTCTTCCTTGTAAATCGTGCGCACGTTTTTCCTCCGCTCCCTCCCGTGCCCTTCTCTGGCCACCCTCATCGTTGCACTGTTATGTCTTGTCTGATTCCATCCTTACGTTACGCTAATATGTTTTTGGCCACCTAAATAATGCACCCCACTCAATTCCAGCATTGATTACGCTCTTGTTAATCCCCTCTTCTCTGTCGATCTCCTCCTTCCCTCTGTACCTCTTGAAATACAGCAGCCGACGCAACAGCTGGTGCAGCAGACAGTGCAGCAAATGCATCAGGGCCAGGAGGAGGATCAGGAGGAGGGGGGGAGAGCAGCGGAGGGAGTGGAGGGGGGGTGAGTCCGTGGGCAATCGGGGTGATCATACTGGCTGCCCTCTTTGCGTCCTCCTGCATTGGCTGCATCTACTTCTGGATCCAAGCGCGCCGCAGCGGTGAGCATTTCATGATATTTCATCATTCATAAAACCCTTCCAAAGCAGCGGTGATAGAGGTGATTCAAAGCTCCCCCTTTCCCATCCCCTGTACCAAGTCATACCTCTCATTTCCTTCCATCAAACCACTCGCCCTGTTCTTCTATTCCCCACCCAAGCAGCCCATATCTTGCCCCCTGAGACGTCTCAAAAGTCATCCCATCTTAGACATTAATCTGATAGAATGTCTTCTCGGGTTGCCTCTCTAAAGCCCCTTAATTATTTCCCGGCCGCCCACCCCAACAGCCCATATCCTAACCTGGGAAGACACGGGGATAGGCCAAGCCAAGGCCTTCCAGGTATTCAAGCTCTCAGAGATGCAGAGAGCAACAGACAATTTCGCCCCTCGCCTGCTCCTCCCGGACGGTGCCCCTCCTGCTGATGCCACCCCCACCACTCCCACTTCTGCTGCTGCTGCGGCGGCTGCTGCGGCTGCGGCTGTTGCTGCTGCGGCGGTTGGGGGCGTGGCTGCTACTGTTGGTGCTGTTGCCGGCGCAGCAGCACGCACGCCGAAAGGAAACGCTGAGAGGAATTGGCCCAGTAGTGCTGATGGTGCTGCCGGTGCTGCTGTGACTGCTGGTGCTGCTACCACTGCTGGTGGTAATGCTTCTACTGGTGGTAGTGGTCGCGATGCGTTTGTGGTTGGCGGTGGAGCAGGGGTGGGGGGCACAGGGGGAGCATACGGAGATATGTACACAGCGAGAGGACCAACCGGGCAGATGTGGGCCGTGAAGAGATACAAGCAGGTGGAGTGGGTGGGCATGGGCCGAAGGGGACAGGGTGGGCGCGGAGGAAAGAGGAGATGCGTAGGGCTGAGCGCAGGAGCAGGGAGAGGAGCAGCAGAGGGAGCAGACGAGGAGTCACAAGAGGGGCTGGAGCAGGGGCAGCAGGGAGGACAGGGGCAAGGGCAGCAGGAGGGACAGGGGCAAAGGCAGGGGCAAGCGCAGGGCGAAGCGCAAGGGGAGCAGGGGCTGTCATTCCTGGAGGAGGTTGGTGTGGTGGCGAGGGCACAGCACAAGAGCGTGGTGCGCATCCTGGGCGCGTGCCACGAAGGGCTAGAGCACCTAGTAGTCTACGAGCACCTGCCCCCGCGCTCCTCCCTCTTCCACCGCTTGCACCGGTGCCGCGACGACGTGCTGTCTCTGGAGCAGCGGCTGAGGGTGGCAGTGGAGGTGGCCGAGGGGCTGTGCTTCCTGCACTCGCAGCGCCCACCCATCGTGCACCGGAATCTGAAGCCCGGGAATATCATGGTGTCAACGTCAGGGATGCAGGTGCGCTGGGGTGGGGGAGAGAGGTGGGGGGTGAGGAGGGGGGGATGGGTGAAGTGAGGTGAGGGAGAGTGGTGGTGGTGAGCAGAGGGGGATGGGTGAGGACGGGGGTTGGTGAAGCCAGAGAGGCTATTGAATGTGGATGGTGCTGCGTGGTAGTCCCCTGGAAGCAGGTAAAGCTGGCGGATTCTTGAATCGACTAAACAAGTTCCCCCTCTCGTTTTCTCACTCGCCCCTCCCCCATCCCCTTCCCCCCTTCCCCCATAACCCCTCCCCTCCTCCCCCCCTCCCCCTCCTTTTCCCCTCTGCGAGCAGGCGAAGCTGGCGGATCTGTGCTTTGCGCGGCTGTCCAGTGAGCGGCGCGGCAGCGTGGTGCCGAGGAGGGCGCAGGAAGAGGGGTATGTGGACCCGGAGGTGGTGCTCATGCCGCACCAGGCGCCGCACACCAAGTCAGACGTCTTCAGGTGTGTGGCTCTTTATGGGTGTGGGTGTGTGTGGGTGTATGTATATGTGGTTAGAGACGTGCGTGCCTTATGAGGAGGGAGGGTATGTGGACCCGGAGGTGGTGATTATGCCGCACCAGGCACTGCACACCAAGTCAGGCGTCTTCAGATCTCTGCCTCTCTCTTCCTCTCTCTTCCTCTCTCTTCCTCTCTCTTCCTCTCTCTTCCTCTCTCTTCCTCTCTCTTCCTCTCTCTTCCTCTCTCTTCCTCTCTCTTCCTCTCTCTTCCTCTCTCTGCCTCTCTCTCTGCCTCCCTCTGACAGGGTGGCTGGTCATTACCTTGCAGCATATGCCCCCCACCTCCTACCCAACATTCCCGTCACTCCCCTCTCTCCCCTCAACTCCCTCACTCCGCTTTTCCCCTCACCCGCGTCCCACTTCTCAGCTTCGGTATGGTGCTACTGGAGCTGCTGACGGGGCGCCTGGCCATCATTAGGCAGCACGTGCACTCCACCACTCGATTCCCCATCACTCCCTTCCCCCAACACTCTCCTCTCTCCCCCCCATCGTCCCCCCTCTCAGCTATGGTGTGGTGCTACTGGAGCTGCTGACGGGGCGGCTGGCCATCATGCCTGACCAGGACGACCCCCACCAGCGCCTCAACATCACAGACTGGGTACGTAGTGCAAGGACCCGCGGAAACCGGGGAACGGGGAAACAGGGGGAAAGGAGGAAAGGACGACGGGGGAGTGGGGGAAAGTGGTGGGGGGTGGAGGATTGAGAACTGATGGGGCTGGGTAGAGAGTGGATGTGGGAGGTTGGCACTTTTAGAAGTGTCACATCCTTCTTGTCACCTCAAACCCCAACAACCGAACCCCAACCCTCCAGTCCCCCCTCCTCCCCTTCTCCTCCTGGCCTTGTGCCTCATTCCACCCACCTGCCCACGCCCTGCTTCAATCCAGGCCGTCCATTACATCAAGGAGCGCGAGGTGCATCTGATCACAGACCCACGCATCGCCATCCCAGCGCACCTACAGGCCTTCCAAGCACTGGGAGAGCTGGCAGTAGACTGTGTCAAGATGCCGTCCCTGCGCCGCCCCAGCATGCCCACCGTGCTGCGCCGTCTGCTAGTGATAATCAAGCGCCGCTTCAGCCTGCGGGGGACCCCGCCTCCCGATCCCACCTTCAGCGGGTTCTATGCCGATGTGGCAGGTGATGCAACAGGTGCTGCAGGGGGTGCTGCTGCTGGCGGTGCTGCTGCTGCGGCAGCTGCGGCGGCGGCAGCGGCAGCGGGGGGGTGTTTTTTCAGTGGGGAGATGCTGAACAGCCAGGATTTAAACGAGGCCTTTTTTAGTGGGGAGATGAGCGGGGATCTGAGCGGTGACTATGTGAGCAGCCAAGCGCACGCCTTTGCTAGTGCTGCTGGTAGCGGCAGCGAAGGTAGGAGTGGTAGTTTCGGCACGGGTGGTGGTTCTGGTGCCCCGATTCCCGGTCTGTCCGGCGAATTGGTGAGCAGGAGTGGGCTGAAGAGAGGTAACAGGGCAGCGGAAGGGAGTGGTACTGTTGCTGCAGGATCAGCTATAAGTGAGGGGGACGAGGGCGACGGGGTTGGGAGCAGAAGCAGAGGGAGCCGCGGAACAGGGAGTGTTGGAGGCAGTAGTAGCAAGTCTGGCGCTGGTGATGGTGTTGGTGGGGGAGGAGGAGGAGGAGCAGTGCTGGTCTCTCTTCCTGAGGGTTCGGGTAAAGCAGACAGATCTAGCCACATGGGTAGTGGGGAGGGTGGGGAGGGTGTGGAGAGTGGGACGTTGGCACCTGACCCTGAGTGTGTGGCTCTGGTGGGAAGAGACGAGGCAGGACAAGTGCAGGAGGGAGGAGAAAGCGATTGTTTAGATGGAAGTGCTGATCGTTGTGATGCTGATGCTGATGATGATGATGGTGATGAGCATAATGAGGAGGAGGAAGGGGAGTATGATTCTGCAACTTCTGCATCGCTTCCTCCATCTGTGGGGTCTAGAACTCGAGTCAGGAGCCTCGCACCTGCTGCTGCGCTGGCACCATCGCCACTGTCAGCGCCACAGCACACACCAGTACAACCGCCCACAGTGCTGCCAGCAGCAGCAATCATACCAGCAGCAGAGATAGACCCAGCAGTGGACGTGGGAGCAACACTTGCAGGAGCGACGGCGGCAGCAAGAGCAGCAGCGGGAATGGCCTCAGATGATGACAATGACTATGACTACCGGTATGACAACGTCGATGGTGAGTTGTACGGTCTGCAAGTGCTCAGTGGGGAGATAGTGGGGCCGTCGTCGGCGAGCTTGGCAAGGGGAGTGGGGTATGAAGGAGTGATGCATTCAGGGGAGCTGCGTTCTGGGGAGCAGCGTTCTGAGGAGTTGCGCTCAGGGGACCTGGGCAGTGGGGTGAGCAACAGTGGGGAGATTCCTTTTAGCTTTGGCATGAGCGGACTGCATGGTGGGAAAGAAGGCTTGAAGTAAGATCGAAGGGAATGTAAGGCAGGGGGATGCCTGCTGGCACAACAGCCTAGTGCCAGTAGAAGTTGTGTCTGCTCTGTGGGTGGGTAAGACTCTTTCTTGCTTGTTTGGCTGGGAGTAGGGCACTTCAGATTCCGAAAGCAGGAAGAGTTACCTCGAGTTGTCAATACGGTAGTAGCGTAGCAGACATGGGATAACCACAACTCATGTGGTGCAATTCTCTGAATGACCTGGTAATTTGCCTTGCATGTAGGTTTATATGTAGCAACATGGATGCTATTGCGGAAGAGTGAGCAATGTCTCACAGCTAAATCACTGCATCGCACTGCCTCAGTCGTTATATTTTTCGTAGTGGGGATTAATGGATAACGCAGTAGATACAGCAACAAATAACTTGATCCATCCCGTGCCTTACATTCCATTTCTGCCACGCTCAGATAAGTTGATACGTCCAGGGTTACCCTGCCATTGCATACCCCTGCAGGAGGTAACCATCAATAAATTAGAACAAAAGGCATTGATTAATAATGGAGTTACCAGAAACATGTGCATGGTTGTTGGAGACTTGTCCGCGGCATAAGGCACGAGTTCACTTACAGACGAAAAGGCTCGAAGTTGTCAGCGCGTTGCCAGCTGCAATCGTTCAATTCCAAGTAAATCTTGCCGTATATAATGCTCCCATGGCGCCGATCCAGGTGTTATCATACTCTTCGACTAGCACGTCCTGAGCCTGCTCCCCCACTGGGTGTGGGTGCGATGCTGTTTTCCACGCGTGCATGGCCTTGCGCACCGCCTTTCACGGTCGATATTGCAGCGATCAGATGCGCGCGCCCCACATTGCCCTCGGGCTGAGACTGCGCGTGCTTTTTCCGCCTGACCGTCCAAATATAAACGAACGCCGCCAAGCCGCCCGCCAGCAGCAACACCACGAGACCCACGCCAATGCTGATGCCCAAGATCAGGGCCGTGTTGCTGCCTCCAGCCGGCGGGGGAGGAGGCGGAACGGGAGGTGGCGGGGGAGGAGGAGCTAGGGGAGGCGGAGGCGGAGAAGGGGGACTGGGCGGAGGCGGAGGGGATGGCGGAGGGGGTGGCGGAAACTTGACCTGGTCTTGAATGTCCACCGGCTCCGTGAGAACGAAGAAGTAGCTGCTGTTGAACGTGCTGTACATGAAACACTCTGCTTTATCAGGAACACCTTGAGTCGACAGCGTCTGCTGGTCTATACCGCCCTGCAGATTAATCACCGTGCACTTTCGTGGAAAAGACATAAGAGACTGCGCAACGCCAAGAGACATCTGGAAGGATACATCTCCCGGATAATCCCCTTTCTCGATCAGGCCGAGTTCTTTCTGCTGCGCCGCTGGCCCCGCGGGTTCGCCGGGGTAGAGGCGGAAGGAGACGATGGGCGAGATGAACGCGAGCGGAGTGGCGTAGACGGGCGGGAGCTGCGCGGAGTCGGCGAAGGGCCACGTGCGCGACGTCAGAGGCGTCGCCGAGCCCTGGGACTCGGCGCTCTGCTCGAAGCGCACGTATAGCAGCGCCACGGTAGGAGTGAGCGGCACTGGCGTGGTCTCTCCATTAGTGATGAGTTCCTCCCAAATCATTCGGCTGATATCCGCCGCCTTTAGTAGGCGGACCTTGGCCGTGACGACCACGTCAGGCGCCAGCATCGTGCGGAGCGCATCAGTCGGCACATCGATCTCAGCGCCGACGGTCATGGCGGCCACCACGCCGTACATCGCGGCCTTCAGCGCCGCCATCGCGCGCTCCCAAGCCGAGCTGCCGGAGGAAACGGGAGGCGACGACGCGAGCTGCCTGCCTCGAGCATTGTTTGCAACGAAAGCGCGACTGATGCTGCTGGTAAACTGGGCGTCACACGGTTGATTGTCGCAGCTAGCTGGCAAAGCGTGTCGTGCATTACTGGCAGTCGGTAAGAGATCTGCGTTAGAAACACGATGGAGGATAGATAGTAGCGTCAACACAGGAAGCCAACGGCAACGACAGCTACGGTAAGAGCGAAGAGCCATGGAGGCAAATGGGAAAATAGCTTCCCGTTGTATAACTGGTAAACAAAACACCAAGAAAACAACGAGATGCTTCCACTTAGCAGGATGTCATCCCCTCCGCTTGATTCGTCCTTCGCATTTCTAGGGCGGTGGATGGGTGTTGTTGTGGTGGGTGGTTGGTTCCGTCAAGTGTGTCGGTCGGTGAGGAAGATGTTAGGGGCGCGCTTGCTTGCTAGTGTTCGCCGTTGATCCCACAGTGGTGTACAGTGCGTGACAGGCTCCTAAGGGCGTGTGTTCTTGGCAGGCTGAGTTTGAAAACAAGTTCGAACTTTTGGTGGTAACCCGTTTCGTTAGTCTCGCCGTGCTGGGTTGCGACTTTCGCCAGAACAGGTAGGAAAGATGGAACCAAACATGGACACTGAACCAGAGTCGAGTTTCCGTTCGAACGTGCGCCCGCACATTCATGCAAACGTGTGTCCTTCTGCCCACGTTTGCAGCTGCAGCGAAAATGGCGACACTGGCGAATTCCATCGTGTGCGCTATCGAATCATACGCAGGTTTCACGGTGCGCCATCGAGTCAGACGTGGCGCACGGTCACGATGGCAAACAGAGTAACCTACGAGTCTATGCGCGACGCGAGCTAGGTAGTAAAAGTCGACTTTTGATGGTCGACCCTACGATGTGACATGTGATTGCCTTGAAAGGTGACTCGCGGCTAGACCACGGGAAGTTGTAAAATTCGACTATAGATCGAACCAAGTTCAAGTGATAAAAGTCGAGTTTAAAAAGCAAACTTTACAAAATTTGCCGAAGGACGCACGCCCTAACTCGTGATCGGTGATAACTTAACGCGCGTTCCATCAATGACCACCCATTTCCCGCCAAGGAGTTCGAAGGCATTTTCGATAAGGAAGAAAAGGTAACCAATCAGATATATGCCACGTCGTCAAGCCACAAATGTGACGTCAAGGGTGCTGGTTTCGCACCGGACAAGACGAACAATAACAAATCAATATTTGGATGTCCAAAATGAGAAATAACAAATCAAATATATTGATGTTCAGAATGTGCAAGGGCATGGTAGTGACGCTTACCTACCATATGAGTTTACAAGTGTACCCCAGAAACACAACTGAAACCTATTATAGGACCCTGAAAAACAGAGCCACCATAAAACTAACTACATTGTAGCAAGTACCTGTTGCAGGACACTACTGGATCTGGTCTTGATACACCAATGCATAGAAGGTATACTTCAAGAGAAAATTATCATCTCGTCCTCCCTGCATATCTTCACATTAGAGCCTTGTTGTAGCTCTGCCCGCCGACTCGGCGTGGGCGGCTTGAAAGCTCCCAAGAGAGCACGCAACCGGGTGCCTGCTGTTCGCACATTGATTGGCTTCCCAAGCACAGCTGAATACCCTGCCATGGCATACCGCCTCTGCAGAAGACATGAGGTAAAACAACGGGTACAGGCATGAGACAAAGCACCCCAGAACAGCAGCCCGTGTTACATTCAAGCACATGCTAGGGGAATGAATGTGGTGCATGCAAGGAGAAAAGTGGGAGAAGGAGTTGGCTTACGATATCATCGGGCTCCACATTAGCTGAAATGGCCACAATAGGCGTCTCCAGCAGCCCATTGGCTGCTTCATACTCTCTCACACGCATGCACGCCTCACTGCCGTTCATTACTTTGAGCCTGCCACATAAAACCACATATACAGCAGCAGCAGTGCAGCAACAGACAGCACATGAAACAACGACTTTGCTTCTAGGCTGCTGCCTGTGCATGGGGCAGAGAGCAGGATGTGAAGGAGAGAGAGCAGGACGATGCAGCAAGTGCATGTGGAATGAGTGCTTTGGTGGGATGAGGAGCACATGTGCCTGCAGCAGCATGCAGAGACCTGATGGGAAGATGCAGAAAGGATGCAGCGCATGGAGAAGCCATGTGTATGGTGCATGCACGGCCTGTGACAATGCATGTGCATGCTGTGTGGTGCATGCGGCATGCTGCATGGTGCATGGTGCACGCTGCACGCAGCATGGTGCATGGAGCAGGAAGCGCACCTCTCATCGAGCAGCAGGGCATCGAAGCGCTCTCCGCACTTGATGACTCGCTCCACGGCGTCCGTGCCATCAGACCCCGCCACCACCTCAAACTGCGCCCTGCTCATGCCACCACGTGGATGCGATGGGATGGGATGAGACAGGGTGGGATGGGATGTGATGGGATGGGATGGGATGGGATGGGATGAGATGAGATGAGATGGGTGGGATGGGAGGGGACGAGGTGGGATGGGATGGGATGGGATGGGATGGGATGGGATGGGATGGGATGGGATGGGATGGGATGGGGTGGGATGAGATGAGATGCACAAGAGGAACCTTCATGATGTAGATTATGAGAAGAGGAGAGGGTTGAGCTTGGCAGGTGCGAGAAGAGAGTGGGCGTGGTGCTTGCCTTTCAAGAGTGCGCCTGACCACCCGTATGTTGACAGGCTCATCATCAATGACCAGCACCTGCTAGCATGCACATGCACACATGACACCATGCACATGCACAACGCATGACACCATGCACATGCACATGCACATGCACATGCAACAATGCGAAGTTGAGGATGCATTGAAGGACAGGAATCACTGCTGAATGCTAGAGAAGCAGAGCAGATGGGAGACGGCAGAGCACAACACTATCAAAACGCTACGCTGGTGGGTGGGTGGTTGGGGAATGCATGTGTACAGCTTCACCACACACACCAGCACCACACGCATCATACCCCCCCTTCTCCCCCACCCACACACACCACACATCCCCACCAATCAGCGCTCCCACCCACCTTATACTCCTTCTCACTCGCCTCGCCCGATCCACCAGCCTGCCTTGCCCCTGCCCCCTGAGCCCTCTGCGCCTTGCTCTCTGCCCCTTCCACTCTTGGCACCGGCAGGCTCTTTGCACTCGCCAGCGGCTCATGCACCCTCCCCCCACTGCTGCCCACGCCCCTGCTGCTCCCACCGCCAAGAATGCCGCCGCTGCCCCCACTGCTGCTGCTGCTGCCGCCGCTGCCGCCTAGGCTACTCAGGCTGCCACTGCTGCTCCTCACACACCATATGCTACCGTGACTCGGCCCAAAATCTGCCTGCCTGATGACGTCACCTCCCCTGCCCACTTCCACCGCACCAAGCACCTCCCTTGCCACTGCCCCACCCTCCACCTCTGCCCCTTGTGTTCCCATTGCTCCCAGCGCTGCTCCTGCTGCTCCTGCTGCTGCTGGTGGTGCTGCTGCATGCTGAGTGTCTCTCTGCGGCTGCACAGACGGGGGGGGAGTGGGCATGGAGAAAAGGTCCGATGCGCGCTTGCGTGGATGGGAGGTGACGGAGGAGGAGGACGGGAGGGACGCAGCGGGCTGCAGGCGAGGCATGTGCGAGAACCCAGGGCCAGGAGAGCCCGTGGGCCCTCGTGCTGCTCCTGTGCCGTTCCAAGAGCTCTCAGACCCATGCAGGAGCGAGAGGGAGGGCGAAGGGGAGGGGGAGCGGGAGGGCGAGGCGACGGAAGTGAGGAGCTGGGTGGAGGGGGAGCGAGAGAAGAGTGAGGCAGCATGGATGGCAGTGGGAGCGGAGGGTGGGGGGACTGGAGCAGAGGAAAGGGGATGGGAGGGTGACGAGGGGCTTATGTGCGTTGCACTGCTCCCAGCTGTTACCACCCCTGCTGCGACTGCGGCTCGTGCTGGTCCTTCTCCTGCCATTCTCACTCCCACTCCACGAGCATCCACTGCCCGTGCACTGCTTGCTGTGCCTGCTATTGCTGCCCCCGTCCCTGTTCCTGTCGCTGCGGCTGTTGCTGTTACTGCTGCTGGTACTGGAAAGGGTTCTTGCTGGGCGGGCGCGGGGAGAGCAGCAGGAGCAGTGGTTGCTTTGTGCAGGGACAGGTTCAAAGCGCCCATGAGCTTCGATGCTTCTCGGGAAAAGTATGGAGAGCTCCCTGCTGCTGTCCCCCCTGCCGTTGCTGCCCCCCCTGCTCCTGCTGTCCCTCCTGCCCCTGTCGTCCCCCCTGCTAACCCTCCTGCAGTCGTGGCAGCAGCAAGGGGTGATGCGGATAGCGCGCCGGGGTTCGGCTTCAGAGCACGCAAGAGAGCGTGAGACAGATGCCGAGGGGACGACTGGGAAGAGGAGGCGGACGAGGAGGAGGAGGAGGAGGTGGAAGAAGAGGAGGAAAAGGATGGGGGTGAGTGAGGCTGAGAGGACACTCTGAGTGTAGAAGCCTGTCCTTCCCCCACCATCCCCCCTTGCGTCAATGCCCCACGCCTGCTCCCGAACCCCATGGCTCCATTCATCAGAGGCTTGGCAGCAGGGGAGCGGCCCAAGGGGGAGGGACCGACAGGGGAAGGGCCGGGAGTGGAAGGGGAGGGAGGGCAGGCGAGCAGGGAGAGGGAAGGGGCGGAACGCACTCGGACCATGCTAGACCCAGGCACACGCACACCCTTTCCTCCGCCACCCTGCCCCACACTGTACCTACTGGGCGGCTGCCAGCTGTCAGGATCTGGTGGGGCATGCCACTGTTGCTGCCGGCTGGGCCCGGCTGTCGGCCGGCCTCCCTTTTCCCCTACCTGCTGCCCCTGCCCCTCCTCTGCTCCCACCCAGCCCTCCTCTGTGACACTCTCTAGCCCTCCTATCCCCAACTCCCTCCTCCCACTCCCACTCCCACTCCTCCCCTTCCTACGCACACACACCCCTTCCTCCTGCCTCTCCTTCCCCTTCCTCCCCTTGCTCCTCCCCCATCCCGGCCCCCCTTCATCCCTTCCTTCCTCCTCCTCCCCTCCCCGCCCCACATCCCGGCCCCCCTGCACACCACCCAGAGAAACCCCAAAGAGAGCAGCAGCAGCGGAGAGAGCTTGCGAGGTGGCAGCGGGGAGCATGAGGGCGGGCGTGATGGGGGCCGGGCAGGGCATGGCGCCCCACTGCTGCCGCACGGTAGTCCCCACTGTCAGCTCTACCAACACTGCCACAGCATCACTAGCCACCACCTCCCTCACCACATGGAAACTCCATTCCCCTTTCATGCACCTCCTCATCGCATCTATGATAGACGCCCCTTCCACTGCGCCGTCTGCGCCTGCTGCTTGCCGAGTGGATGCCTCTGCTGCTACCGATGCTGCTGCCACGGCCGTGGCTGCTGCAGTCACCATGCCTGCTGCTGCTGCCGCTGCTTGCACGATTGCAGCACTGCCTCCTGCCCCGGACCCTGCGCCTGCTGCACTTGGTGCTGACGAACCTGATGGCGATACTGCTGCTGCTGCTGCTCCTGGTGGCGTGGGAGAGGAAGGTATGTACGGGGAGAGAGGGAGGGTTGTGTGCGCGGGTTGTTGCACTGCTGACGGGACCACAAATGCTTGCACTTGCTGCTGCTGCTGCTGCTGCTGGTGCGAAGCAGCTGGGGCCACGCCTGTGAGGGCAGCAGATGATCGTGCATAGCCAGCAAAAGCTCCCTGCAGCCCTGCACTCGTTCCGTCACCCAGTCCCTCCACACTCCCATCCGCACATGCTGCCATGGGCCTGCTGGCAGGAGGCGGGGCAATCAGCGACGCGGCGGCATGGTGTGAGTGCGCTGCTGCTGCTGACGCACTGCCACGGACGGCGGCTGGTGCACCAGATAAAGGAGATGACAGCGACCTCTGCAGAATGCCACCAGCACCGCTGCTGCTGCTGCCACCGGCACCAGCAGCACCGTCGGCTGCAGCAGCAGGGGGGGCATCGGGCGGGGGGTAGCGGGGGGGGAAGGAGCGCCGGGAAGGATCGGTGAAGGAGCGAGTGGGGATGCCGCCATTGGACGAGGCCGCCATTCGCTCCCTCAGAGCCGGCCGCGCCAGGTGGAACACCGAGGACGGCAGCTGACTCAGCAGTGAGTCAGCGCGCATGGCTTCGGGCGAGGCGGCCATTTGGCGGGGAGATGGGGTGCCGGCTCGGGGCAGTGGCGGGTAGTGGCTGTGGTGCTGCTGACTGGTGTGGTCGAAGGTCCAAGGGTTGCTGGGATCGGATTGGGTGCCTGATGTGAGTGCATCAATGTTGAATCCCCCAGGCAAATCCCTTGCTGGACCCGCTTCACTGAAACTGCCACCACCGCCAGCAGTGGCAGCAGCAGCAGCAGAGGAAGAAGCAGGAGAGGAGCCATGCGGAGCAGTGCGATGGAAAGGCGTGGTGTGCGTTTCATCATACCCCTGCTCCACCACAACTGCCAATCCAGGAAGCCCCTGCTGCCAACGCTGCTGCTGTGGTGCTTGCTGTTCCTCTTGCTGCTGCTGCTGCTGCTGCCGTGGCTGTTGCTGCTGCTGCTCCTGTGACTGCTGCTGCTGCTGCTGCTGGCGGCCTGTTTCCAAACCACTGCTCCCACTGATTCGCGTACCTGTTGTGCCCGCTGCACCTGCCAAGCTGCTCCCTCCCGCACCCCCTCTCTGCACCACTCCCCTGCCTGGTGTGGGCGGGCGGCAGGGGGAGCGCGGGGCGGAGGGACAGGGAGGGCGGGGAGAAGGGGGGATGGTGGGAGCGGAAGAGTTGGGGGGTGCGGAGCAGGAGAGGGAGGGTAAAGAGGGCAGAGAGGGCGAGGAGGAGGAGGAATGGATGGTGGGGTGTGCAGGGGGGGCGGCAGCAGGAGAGGAGGTGGATGGGCTGCGCTTGAGAGGAGAGGTTGCCGCCGGGGGCGGGCGGAGTGAGGGGGATGATTTATGGAGGCGGGAGTTGAGCAGGAGTGTGTGCAGCATGTGCGCTGCGGGTCCCTCTGATGACGTTGCCTCTCCTGACTGGAACGACGGCTCACGAAACTCACCACCCCCCTTCCCCTCTTCCCCCCTTCCTCCTCCTCCTGCTCCCCCTCCTCCCTCTCCTTCTCCACACACATACTCTCCTTCCTTTCCTCCTCCTCCCCTTCCCCCTGTCACCACCGACGCCACTGCCCGTGCTGCTGTATCCATCTGGCCGCTGCTGTGCGTGGCTGCTGCTGCAGGCCCCCCACTAGTCAACTGGGTGCTTAACTCCCCACCCCTTGCCACTCCTCCCCTGTGCTCCAATGCTCTCTCAAAGCCCACCTCCTCCCTCCCCTCATCCTGCTGCTGCTGCTGCTGCTGCTGCTGCTGCTGCTGCTGCTGCTGCTGCTGCTGCTGCTGCTGCTGCTGCTGCCGCACCTTCCACCCGGACTCGCCCGTTCCCCTCCCCTCGCGGTTCCCTCCCCTGTGCTGCTCCGCATCAGGCCTACCCCCATCCCTCCCTGCTCCCTGCACTGCCATCCCCGCATCACCCCCACCCTGCTCCCCACTACCTCCCTCCGCCACTCCCCCTCTGCGCGCCCCCATCCCCCCTTGCTGCCGCACTGCTTCCCCCTCTGCCTGCCCCCGCGCCTGCCCTACCGCACTGCCCGCCCCCTCACCCACACCCGCGCCTGCGCCCAGAGTAGCAGAGCCAGGGGCTTGGGAGGGGGGAGGGGGGAGCGGAGGCAGAGCCAGGGGGCTGGTGGCGGAGGGGGAGGGCGGAGGGGATGAGGCGGAGGAGGACGGGGGGGAAGGGGGCGCGAGCAGGCCTCTTGGAGTGGTGGCAGCAGCAGCAGTGTGGGTGTGGGGGGGGAGCAGGTGCAGTTGCACCTCTAGGGAGAAAATAGAGCCCTTGCCCACCTCCGACGTGCACTTGATCTCCCCCCCCATCAGCGACGCTAGCTGCTGGCAGATTGACAGGCCTAGCCCTGTGCCACCATACCTGGTGCATTGGGGGAGAGAGGGGAGTGGGGAGCGGAGGGAAGTGGGAAGGAAGTTGAGGGGGGGGTGCGAGGGGAGTGGAGGGAGGGCAGATGCGTGCCTACACAAGCTGCATCGCTCGTAGAACAAGCTGCAATCCGCATGCATCCCCACACACAGCAGCAACGCCTCGCACACCCCCAACCAACAGATACCCCACCCCTACCCTTCCCTTGCCATGCACCCCATCCCCTTCCCTCCCACCCTTCCGTCCCTCCCACCCTCCCGTCCCTTCCAACACCCTCCCCTCCCGGGCTCCTTACTGGCTGGAGGCGGACTTGCGGCCCGTGGCGAACTGCTCAAAGAGCCGCTGTTTCAGACTCTCCGGGATGCCCTCGCCCGAGTCCGCCACTCGGAACACAAACCGCGCGCTCTCCTCCTCTCCCTCCGCGCCCTCGCCTCCCCCGCCCCCGCTGCTGCTCCCCGCCTTGCCCTTGCCGCTTGCGCCGGCTGCAGCCTTGGAGAGAGCGGTTAGGGAGGAGGAGGAGGAGGGCGAGGGGAGGTGGCTGGGGTGCATGGCGATTCCTATCTCCACCCATCCAGCATGCGTGAACTTGATGGCGTTCCATGCGAAGTTGGATAGGATCTGCGCAGGGGAGTGGTGGTGCGGGGGTTGGGGGGAGTGGGTTGGGAGACAAAGAGCCAGGGATGGAGACTGATGCGGCGACAGCATGTGGTATGCGTCTTGGAGGGGTGGAGTGGGACGGAGCAGTGGAAAGGGAGGCAGGCAGTAAACGCAGTGGAGAATAAAGGGTAGTGGTCAGAAGAGCCGAAGCCAACTCAGGTGGTGCAATGGTGCCTGAGTGCCGACCGAGTGCATGCATACCTGCTGCAGCCTGGGAGCGTCTCCCAGCGGGCGCACGTCATTACAGCGCGGGTCGATGTTCGCGTACAGCTGCAGGCCCTTCTTGGCTGCCGCCAGCCCCACCTGGCTCACCACGGCGTTCACTATCCTCGGCAGGTTCAACTCGTGCCTCTCCAGCTCTATCCTCCCCTCCTGTATCTGACTCATATCCAGCACGTCTTCGACGATCTTCCTCAGCTGGTAACCGCACGTCGCGGTGGTTTCCACCAGCTCCTGCTGCTCCTCCGACAGCCGCGTGTCCTCCATGAAGGTAATATTCCCGAGAATCCCGTTCAGCGGGTTGCGAATCTCGTGGCACAGGAACGCCAGGTGCCGGGATTTTGCATCCTCAGCCGCCTCGGCCGCATGCCGCACCACCATGGCTTTTTCCACAGCCTTGCGCATGGTCACGTCCTGCATGAAGCACAGCACGCGGGACCCCTTCCCCGCGCCTCCTCCCCCATCCGCGCCGTCCCCATCCTGGGGGTCATGGCATGCGCGCATGCTGATCACAGACTCGACCTGGCGGCCCTCGTGGTTGACGAAGCGGAAGTTGAGCGTGGGCGTGCGGTGGCCGGCGAGGGCGCGGTGGATGGCGAAGTCGAGGGAGAGCAGCGTGTCGCTGTCGGGCACCATGAGCACGCGCTCGTCCCCCACCAGGTCGCCCATTATGCGCTTCCCCACTGCCTGCTCCTTGCTTATGCCGCTCGTCTGATGGGAAGGGGGGGGGAGAGGGGTGATGAGGGATAGGTGCGTGGGGGCATGGGGGCGTGAGGGCGTTGGTGAGAGATGGGGTGTGTGGTGTGTGAGAAGGTGGGAGTGGTGAGAGGGGTGTGTTGGTGTGAGAGGGGTGTGTTGGTGTGAGAGGGGTGTGTTGGTGTGAGAGGGGTGTGTTGGTGTGAGAGGGGTGTGTTGGTGTGAGAGGGGTGTGTTGGTGTGAGAGGGGTGTGTTGGTGTGAGAGGGGTGTGTTGGTGTGAGAGGGGTGTGTTGGCGTGAGAGGGGTGTGTTGGTGTGAGAGGGGTGTGTTGGTGTGAGAGGGGTGTGTTGGTGTGAGAGGGGTGTGTTGGTGTGAGAGGGGTGTGTTGGTGTGAGAGGGGTGTGTTGGTGTGAGAGGGGTGTGTTGGTGTGAGAGGGGTGTGTTGGTGTGAGAGCGGATCGTGTGGTGATGATTGTGGGGGGAAGATGGGGGTTGATGGGGGGACGAAGAACATGCACTCCGTACAGCACCTGAAGCATTGCCTCAGTGGGCACGGCACGGCACGGCACGGCACGGCACGGCACGGCACGGCACGGCACGGCACGGCACGGCACGGCACGGCACGGCACGGCACGGCACGGCACGGCACGGCACGGCACGGCACGGCACGGCACGGCACGGCACGGCACGGCACGGCACGGCACGGCACGGCACGGCACGGCACGGCACGGCACGGCACGGCACGGCACGGCACGGCACGGCACGGCACGGCACGGCACGGCACGGCACGGCACGGCACGGCACGGCACGGCACGGCACGGCACGGCACGGCACGGCACGGCACGGTACGCACCTTAGCCATGGACGCATTCCACTCCACAATCCTTCCGTCCTTGTCAACAGCCCAGATGGGCATGCTGGCCTTGTCCAGTATCTGCTCATAGTCGCTGGGCACGGCGCGCGTCTCGTTCTCCGCCCACTGCTGCATGGTGCGCCGCTGCTCCGTCACATCCTGCCCGATCATCGTCGCCCCCACGATCTCATTCAGCCCGTCCCGCTGCGGGGACACCGTAGCCATCAGCACCATCACCTCCTCCTCTTCTTCTTCCTCCTCCTCGCCCTCCTCCTTCCCCTCTTTCCCCACCTCCTCCTCCTCGTCTTCGTCGTCCTCCTCCCCACCCCCGTCCCCCTCGCTGCCGTTCCCCTGCCCCTTCCCGCCCCGTGCGCTGGGCGTGCGTGCGGGTTTGCCCTTGGGCGGGCAGCGCAGCAGGATCTCCACGTGCTCCTGTGCCTGCCCCTTGCCCGCCATCACCTGCTCCAGCCGCGCCTGCAGCTGCTGCATGCTGCCCGCACACACCACCGACGACAGCAGCTGCCCCACCACCGACGCCTGGGGGGCCGGGGAGGGACGGGTGGGGGAGCGGAAGAGAGGCAGGGATGGGGGGAGGGGAGAATAGGAGTGTTTGATTGTGAGGAGAGGGGGGGGAGGGGACGGGGCGGGGGAAGGGAAGGAGAGGGGGAAGGGGGAGGAGGTTTGCATGAGGAGGGGGGCATGGTGATGGAGAAGAGGCAGGTGTTGCCTTGCGAGCCATCGCTGCAATCATCCCACCCACAATCCAACCACCCACCATTCAACCCTCCACCATTCAACCCTCCACCATTCAACCCTCCACCATTCAACCCTCCACCATCCAACCCTCCACCATCCAACCACCCACCATCCAACCACCCATCCAGCATCGTACAGCACACATATGGGCAGGAAGGCACAGAGGGGCGCACCTTGGGGCGGCGGGTGAGGTGCGCGAGGCGCTGGTTCCACTCGGTGATGCGGCCGTCGCGGGCCACAGCAAGGATGGGCGTGTGTGCGATGTCCATCATTCGCCCCAGGTCGCGAGCCACTATCGCCAGGTCCTGCATCGCCCTCAGCCTCTCCTCGTTCAACCGCACCTGTGGCAGCCATGGGGGATGGGAGGGGAGGGGAGGAGTGGGGAAGAGAACGGAGAAGGAGTGGGGGGAAGGGGGAGTGGGGTGGGTTGGGAAGGGAAGTACGGCAAGGGGAGGAAGTGGGGGCAAGAGGGGGCAAGTGGGGGAGCAGAGAAAGGTTAAGGAGGGGGAGAGGGGGGGGAATAGCCAGGGACAGGTTAAGCATGGGAATAGCTTAGGTGGTGTGAGGAGGCGCGGCGTAATGTTTAAAGAGGGGAGGGCGGCGCTGCTGCTGCCAGCACAGCACAGGCGGCAAGGTTGGAGGTGTGAACAAGGTGAGACACGACTGGACAAGCGTTTGAGTGCACATAAACTCAGAGCCTGAACGAAATCGTTCGTCCAGTGATCAGGGAGGGGCTTCCCAGGGGTGTGATGTGTGGCAGGGAAAGGCGCAAGTGAGAGGAAGGAGGGTGCTGTGTGAGAGTGGGCAGAGGGGTAGGGCAGGACAGCGGAAGGCGCAGCAGGCAGGCAACGCACGAGGATCATGGTCTTCATGGGCTCGCTGTTGCCCCTTAGCGCGTCGTACGCCATGCGCTGTAGCCCCTCCACTGCAACCACCTGCCATGCCATGCCCGGGGGGGGAGGGGGTGGCGGGGTGGGAGGAGGGGTGTGGAGTGGGGGAGGCGCGGTGAGGAGGGGAAGGAGGGGAAGAGGGGGAATGAGGTGGAAGGAAGGAAACAGGGCAGAGAGGAGGAGAAGCAGACGGGAGAGCAGCAAGGCCGGGTGAGGATGGGATAACACATGCACAACGGAGACATCCAGACGCACCTGCTAAGCCATCTCATCCCTCTCCCTCTCTCTCTCGCACGCACCCTTGCTCGCCCACCCATTCGCCTCAATCCTCCCATCCCGTCCCATGCCCACTCTTCCCACACTACTCGCCTGTCAACCAACCCCCCCATCCCAAACCACGCTTCTCATAACCGCCCATCCCACAGCGCTGGTCACCTCGGACTGGGTCCACCCAGCGGGCTGCATGGCCAGCAGCATGCCCTCATCCCTGCCAGCCTCGCCCCACGCCCCTGCGCTCTCGCTGCCCTCGCCGCCCCCCTTGCTCCTCTCGCCGCCCCCCTTGCCGCCCTTGCCCGTGCCGCACTGTGGCGCCCCTGCTGTGAGCGGCTCCGTCCACGCCCAGTCCAGATGGCGCTGCTGCCCTGCCACACACAGAGAGCGGCGCACGGGTGAGGGGGGCGCATGGTGGGAGGGGCATACGGGGGGAGGGGCACACGGGGGGAGGGGCACACGGGGGGAGGGGCACACGGAGAGAGGGGCACACGGAGAGAGGGGCGGTGAGAGGGTTGTATTAGTGCCTGCTGTGAGCGGCTCCAACACACCCAGTCCGGATGGCGCTGCTGGCCTGGCACACACAGCGAGGGAGGCGCATGCGGCAAGACAGGGGAGGTGAGAAGCGGAGACGGGCGGGGAGAAGGAGGGGAGGGTGAGAGGAGTCGTTGCATGAGGCGGGGAGATAGGAGGAGGGGAGGCGGAGTGGGATGGGCACATGAGAAGACATAAGAAACTGCAAGGCTGGCAGGTTGGGGGGGGCACATGATAAGCTGACTGCATGATAATGCGCACACATTCGCAGCGTGTGCATCAAAGGTGCATGTGGGTGCAATCGTGCAAGAGCCAGGCAGGGCAGGGCAGGGCAGGGCAGGGCAGGGCAGGGCAGGGCAGGGCAGGGCAGGGCAGGGCAGGGCAGGGCAGGGCGTGTGCACTGACGTTGGCGGAACCAGAGCAGCACGTCGGCATCGGCGATGGCAGCCGCGGCCACGGTGCAGTGCAGCGCCCACGCGGGGCCCCAGTCGCCTGGTCGCGCGGAGGAGGACACCAGCGGCGCAAACACAGGCTTGGTCACGCACAGACGGGATGAGCTCTGCATCCACGCCACCATGCCCAGCACCTGATGGGGGGTTGTGGGGTGTAGGGGGGTGAAAGCGAGGGGGGAAGGGCAGAGTGCAGGTGGGAGCAGGTGGGGGAAGGAGAGAAGGGGAAGAGTGAGTGGATGCAGACGCAGTTGAGCACGTGACTGTCAAAAGCACTACATGCGCAGTTCAACGGCTGTGCAGTAAGCATGCGGACAGAGAGGGAGGGGAGGTGGGGAGGACCATTCGAGGGGAGGTGGGGAGCAATGGCATGGCGTTTGAGATGTCGAGGCTAGGTGGGGCGAGATGGCATGGCATGGCATGGCATGGCGACGCACCTGGTCGTCTGTGGGGCATGTGCCAAAGGTGACCACCTGCGCCCTCTCCGTGTGCACGTATGCCACTCCGTCACATGGCACCTGCACTCATGCACAGCACAGAGCACATGCACACCCGTGCACACACACACACGCGCATGCACGCACGCACGCGCATGCACACATGCACACACGCACAATCACGCACCACATACACAGGGCCAAGGAGGCAGGGGAAAAGGCACGAAAGAAAGGGAAAGCATGCGATAAGTGCAGTGCAAGGCAGGCAGGAGCTATCAGCCCCGCCGCACACCACTCACTCCGGCTCTCTCGCTCCCTCCTTTTCTCGCTTTCCCCCCCTCCAGACCCTCCCTCTCTCCCCTTCTCTCCCTCTCCATTCCCTCCCTCCCCCTACTTTTCCCCCATCCCTCCTGCCCTCCCTCCCCTCCCTCCCATCTCCTTTCTCCCCCCTGCCACCCCCCTTCGCCCGGGCCGTGGCACGGCGGCCAGCACGCACGAGGTCCATGATGGAGGGGCTTTCGGTGACGAGGGACGGCGCCACCTGGTACGTCAGCCGGTCACAGATGCTCGTCTGCATCGCCTCCTGCCGCCGCCGCTCCGCGCGCTCCTCACTCTTCACCCGCGTTGCTAGGTGCGCCCGCAGGGCCTACAGAAAGGGGGGGTGGGAGAGAGACGGGTGCGGGAAGGGTGGAGACGAGGGTGGGTTGGGAGAAAATGGGGTGAAAAGGCAGCGGGCATGAGATGAATGTGGGGAGAGAGTTGGCGTTTTTTCACGGATGAGGGGGATTGCAGAGTGTATGTGTGGGCGTTTTCCATGGGGGAGGGAAGAACAGGTGTGAGGCGCAAGGGGTGTGTGTGCGCGTGGCGTGACGCGCGCAAGGGAGAAGAACAAGGGCGGTACAGCAGCCATTCCTAATGCCCACCATCACAGTCACCGTCACCATCATCACACCACAAATTCCTCCTCCTCTCACTCACCCTTCACCACCCCACCCTTATCACAACACAACAACCAACCCACAACGCAAAACGCAAATCCACGTCTCCCTCTCAGCCCACCTGCACAATGAAGGTGCAGGCGGCGCGGTGGGCGCAGGTGACGGTCCAGGGGCGGTTGTAGTGGTGGAAGATCACAAAGCCCCACAGCACGTGGCGCTCTCCCACGTGCAGCGCCAGTGGCATCAGCAGCACCGCGCACACGCCCATCGCGCGTAGCAGCTGCCTCTGCGCGCTCTCCACGCCTGTGGGGGCGGGGGTGGGGGGATGGGGGGAGAGACGGTAAGGAGATGGGGAGGGAAGGAGTGGTAGGTGGGATTGGTGGGGTGACGAAAGGATGCTGAGGAAAAGGGTCAGAGAAAACAGGGGAGGAGAGGGGTTCATGCAGGTGGTAAGCGGGACGGGGGGCGGGAGAGAACCGGGGGGGGTGAGTGGAGTTGGCTGATGAGGTAGAGTGAGGGGAGGGCGGGGTGTGTGTAAATTGTACCTGAGAGTGGGGAGAGGCTGAGATCGGGCGGGGTGGATAGGGAGGCCACGTGGCGAATGGGCACTTGCCCTGCTGACGTGTCATAGATGAAGCGCATGGGGATGTGCTGCTTGATCGCCTCGTCCGTCCAGATCTGATGGGCGAGACGAGGGGGTGGGGAGGGGCGACGAGGGGTGAAGAGGAGTAAGGAGAGCACACGGAAGAAAGAAGGTGCACACGGAATGTTAGAGGTTGGGGCGTGAAAGCGTTGGAGGTGATAATAGCATGGGAATCGCGTGAGGTAGCATGGGGGTACCAACGAAACGAGGAGTGCAAAAGGAAGATGGGGTAAATCTGACAGGCAAGAAATTGCATGAGGTAAGGCGCCAACGGTGCCACGGGGGGTCCGGGGGAGGAAGAGGAGCAGTGGGCATGGAGGGAGGGAGGACAGCGGACGTACCTTGGGAACGGGCGGCAGAGGAAAGTGCTTTCCGCGGAACGATGTGAGCTCGCTCACACACGACTCCGCTATGATCTGATGGTTCACGCGCACACGCAGGGGAACGCGCAGGCAGGGGAACGCGCAGGGGAGCGCGCAGGGGAGCGCGCAGGGAAGCACACACGGGAGCGCACACGGCAGCACGCATGCACATTAACGAAGAGCGTTTCACCACTCACGATTGCAAAGATGAAAAGTTAGTTGGGGTTGCTTTGCCTGCTGCCATGCCCCAGCACACAACCCCTCGCGTTGCACGCACTCACGGCACCTCGTGCCAAGCCGCCGCACTTGCAGCGCACCTAACGCGCGCGCACAATCGCGCTGCCACGCTCTGCAAACCTGCCTGCCTGCCGGCCTGGGTGCGTGCGTCGCGTTCACGTTCCGCGCCCATGGTGGGCGCATGGTGGTCGGCGCGCGGTGGTGAGTGGGTGCGCGCGTGCGCGCGTACCTTGCAGCAGGCTTCGTCCGTGATGTGCGCGATCATGACGCGGTCGTACCCCGTCAGCGTGCGCAGCTCCTGCGCTCACGCCATGCACACGGGACGGCACGACGAGGTGAGTTCGTGGTGCCGCATGGCATGGCATGGCATGGAATGGAATGAATGGCGCGACATAGCATGGCCGTGGACATGGTGTGGAACGAAGAGCACACGGTGCGGGAGATGGCCGGGTGCCGTGCAGAGGGAATGCAATTAAAATATTTTCAGCGGTCCCAAGGATAGGAATACTCGAAGCAAGCAGCGACTGCTACGTATCCTCGCCAGGCACCCGTCACCTGACCGCTTACATACATTAGGCCGCTATAACCCTGGGGGAAAGGCAGATGGCGCAAAGCGAAAAAGGCGTTCTCTTCTTTCTAATTGCGCTTTCTTCACTACTCTCTCTGTTCTGTTCTCTTCTCTCTCCGTTATCTCTCCTCGCGTCACCTGCGCGGCCGCGTCGCAGAAGGCGTGCACGTGCGGCGACACGCTGTTGATGCTCTGCATGCGGTCGATGGCGCGCCGAGCCAGCTGGTGGAACGGCAGCGACGGCGCCGCCGACGCCGTGCTCGGCCCTCCCGCCGCCGATAACGGAGGAGGCACGTCGACCTCCTGTAAGTCTGCGCGCGAGGAATGGAACGGGCGCAGGAGAGAGAGGGGGAGAGAGGTGGGGATGTGGGGGCGGTGTCCGGAGGAAAAGCTGGGCGGAAAACAAGACGGGAGGGTGTTCGGAATGGGCAGGACAGCGGGGGAGGCAATGCGCTGCGCAGCGACAGGACCCGCGGTGCTGCTCCCACAGGCACGTGTGTCTCCGACGGCTGGATTCCGCCTTGCTCTACTCGAAAGCCACGCCTCCAATTCCGCACTAAGCCAATCCCATTGCCGCCGCGTTACCCGCTAACTACCTATACCCGCCGCCGTCCCCGCCGTGTGCCGCACAACCTTCCCCAGCTTCGGGCAATTCCGCTACCCGCTATTAGCAAATCCGCAATGCGCTACTGGCTATTCCGCTATTCGCCACTGGCTACTCCGCTATCCCGCTAATAGCAATCCGCTTTCCCGCCACTGGCTTGAACAGGGCACCTTGCTCGTTGTCGTCTTCCACGCTCAGCACCACCCCCGCGCCCGTGCGGCACGCCGACACGCAGTACGACTGCCCCGGGCGCGGCCCGCTGATCTGGCACGCGCTCGCGCTGTGCGCCGTTGTGCGCCGAACCAACGCCTCCAGGTCCGACAGTGTCTGGGGGAGATCCGCGACGCGGAGGGAGCAGACGGACGGGAAGGGGAAGGGGAAGGGGGGGAAGGGGAGGGGAAGGGCACAGGTAGAACGAGGAGAGAACGACGGAGACTGAGACGGACGCGAGGGGAGAAAGCGATGCGGGATCAACGGAAAGTTGCGGTCAGAAGATGAATGTGAGCGTGGGATTGCGAACAATCGAAGGCGACCAGAGCACGGTTGATGACGCTTGAAGCTAAGCAGGAGGGGCGACAGAGCGGCGGGCGATGAAAGCGCAACGTCGGGGTGTGAGAGCGACAAGGGCAGGGGCAAAGGTGCGCGGGAACCTGAGAGGTGGTGAAGACATCGCTAAGGTGGCGCCCTATGACCGCGGACGCGCCCTCGTGCTCCGACACCACTCCGCCCGCCGCGCGCACGTCTGGAATAAAGAGCAGCACGTTCTCGCTCGCCGCCACCACCTGCCGCGCACGACAAGAGCTCGCGAGAGGAACTATGGGGAATACTAGAGCGAAGAGAAGTTCGGAATTGCGTAAATTTGATACGAGGGAGGTCAGTGGGATGGTCCTTGGTCCGTCCTAGTTACTGCAGGATAGATAAGCAGCTAATAACCAGCTAGAGTAGCTAGAAAGGAGAATTTAGGCAAATTGTCTAGCGACACTACTACATGCTGAGTGGACTCGCAAGCCGTACGTCTAAGGAGCGAAAGAAGCTAAGAATGCGCACCTTGCGCGACTTCTCGTCTAGCACGAGCACGGCGCCGTGCGGCTGCGCGGTGACCTCTGCTACCACGGTCTCCTCCGACGCTGCCTCGTTCGCGTCTCCGGCCTTCCGCATCGCAGCCATCGCATTCCCTCCTTAAAACACGCGGACTTCGCTAGCTTAAAGATCAGTCCGCGTGCACAGCGCGCAGCGACGCAGCTGTCTGACGGCCTGCTGGCATACGCCCCAGGTCAAGAATACACGCGTCGCATTTGCGCATCGCTGGAAGCGGACGACTGCCGTAGACTGGAAGGTACAGACAAGCGCTCTAAGGTCCAAGGCGACACACAATGCGCAGAAAGAGAACCCTGACGTGCTACGTCGATGGATGATATGATTTTCCCTGACAGGAGTCTGGGTTGGAACTAAGGGTAAACCTTTCCACCGAACCGAAATAAGGTACGACCCCGAAGTTTACCGGGTTTACTCCCCCGCCTCCACTCCTCCCGCGGCTTCGCAACGTAGACTCGTAGAGGCTTTCAGGCAGTCATGTGCGTGTTTATGGAGCTCCCCCGGCCCGAGCAAGGCTCACAGTACAGTACTAGCGTGGTGGATGGACATGGGAACTTCCATGACGTGAAGGTTTTCTTTTTAAGCGAGTGTAAATATTTGCGGTGTGGCGACAGATATTTCCCCAGTACTGAGTTTAGAACCTGGGGCGTGGGCAGGCTCCCTGATCGTAAACACAAACCACAAACAGCCGAGGCATTTTGTGACTTGCGTTCACAACTCTTGTTTTGCACCTGCTGTCATCGAATGGGCCAGCGTGTTGTCCGCTAGAAACACATTGATCACGAGGGTGGCTCGGGCAAATGCGTCTGCAAAAGGGCAACCCTTATGCGTCTACGAGACCTGGCGGGGGAGACCTCAAGGATATCCGAAAAACGAATCATTTGACCTGATCCGACGTAATGGACGGATAAACAACAGAGCTCGACCAGAACTGTGACAAGCACGAAGCAGGAAACCCATCTTGTGGTATCCAAGGAGCCCTAGAATGTAGGCCCCAGATTCTCCCTGAATGGCAATCCGAGGTCTGTCGGGCTGAGAAACTGCTCTTCTCATCTTGGTGGCGGCATTGGCTTGTTGATTTCTCGTGCGATACACATCTCGGCAAATAGGCCTTCTCCATCACATGTGCCACGTCATTTGATACGTCAGGATTATAGAAGATAGATCACCCAAAATCGACTCTCATGCCAAGTGGGGGGAAATCGACACAAAGAACCGTGAAAATAACAAAACGACAAAACCGGTAGCAGTTCTGCTGTCCCTTTAAACGGGCAGGGAACAAACACAACTACGGTTACGAACGAACGAGAGAGGGAGAGAGGAGAAAAAAACCATGACCTTCCCTTCCATACTCTCTGACATTTGATGTCTGTATAACCAGAGCTTTTAGACACTAAGCGCAACTTCTCAATAGTTGTTATAAGACATAGAGTATGAATAAATGTACAAGCGAAAACGTGTTTTTCCCTTTCCTCACCTTATCCATTCAGTTCACCAAACCTTGCGAGGGGTTGTTCTGCTGTACATGATGCTTGTGGCTCAAAATTCTTGGAAAGCCGAAACGTAACCACGCGTAAATCATTGCAGCAGCGTAATATCTTCGGAACCCTTGGTTCTCGATGCCCAACAATCAATGTCTCGTGCGGTCATTGTTGCAGTAGTAGGCACCTGCTGCTCACTCGCACCCCAGATTCCAACATTTTGGTCCTTCAATCCGAATATCCACTGTAGGCACCTCCATTGAGTCACGAAAAAAACAAATTGAGTGACTCAAGATACCTAAATGAGATGTGTGGTCCTAATGCTGTGCTTTTCCAGCACACAGTAATGTTTTCAGATTTGTCTAAATATGCTGCATTCTTTCTCTTAATGTATGTGTAATAATTTTTTCTTTTCTCTTGTTGTGGATAGCAGGTGAGTGATTGAATTTAGCAATTGCAATTGCTGCCATAAATCCATAGTTTCACCTATTATGGAAAACAAGCACTACAACAACCCGTGTTGTTACCGGTATATCATCACTTGACATGTAAAGTTACAACTGGTGGTATCTGGCTGGTCTATGCAGCATGGATGCAGTTAGGCGGTCTAACACAACGGCGGTCCATTTGCGGTCCATTAACAAGAATGATGGAGCAGTGCTCATGCACACTGTGCACTAACGCTGTGTGACTTGCAATGCTTTAAAAAAAGACAGTCCCTGCACTGCATATTTACCTTGATATTTTGTTTCTGCCTGTGTGGTGGACACTCCGGTGCATGTACAGCTGGCTGGCAATTAACATGATATTTCTTTCCTCATATAGTACGAGGCGCAGCAGCACGAGGCGCTACATGCGCGCCTCCTCCACGTGTTGTAGCGTCTGTAGGCAACTCAATGCACCTCCACGTGCTGCTGCTACGTGCTATAGCACCGCCGCCACCTCCACGTGCCGTAGGGTCTGTAGGGTCTGTATGCAACTAACTCAATGCACTGCCGTCCCGCACCCTCACGTCACTCGCGTACCTGTGCCCAGGGGGAAGGGGGCAAGAGAGGAGCAGGTTGAAAAGAAAAGGGAATGGAAGGGATTACAACATTAGAACGTTGATGGAACGGTGGCGTTGAATTCACCTGATGATAACTAGCCAGTCCAAGACGCCCTCCAGCTTCTCCTCTATGCTCTCCCTGCTCTCCTGGCATCCATGCCATGCCACCCATGCCGTGCACCCCACACCCACATACCATCCATGCCACCCACATACCATGCATGCCACCCACATGCCATCCATGTCACCCACATACCATCCATGCCACCCACATACCATCCATGCCACCCACATACCATCCACGCCACCCACATACCATCCACGCCACCCACATACTATCCATGCCACCCACATATCATCCATGCCACCCACATACCATCCATGCCACCCACATACCATCCATACATGCCATCCAAGTCATGCCATCCCACCACATCATGCCACAACAACACAGCCCAGAGGCAATCGTGTGCCATGCTATGAATACGAAGAGGCGACTCCACGCCCACAGGAGGCCCCTATGGAACACAGCAGGTCTAGCATTCACGCTCCAGGTGCAGGGTCAGCATGCCATCACATGCCATGTCACGGCACACGCTATACACGATAAAAGAAGAAATCTTCTCAGCTGCACACCATGCAGATGTGCTGTGACTGCCCACCATGCAGATGTGCTGTGACTGCCCACCATGCAGATGTGCTGTGACTGCCCACCATGCAGATGTGCTGTGACTGCAGCGGCGAGTGTGGCAGCAGCGAGTACAGGTAGCCCCTCCCTCCGGCTCTCCGCCCCCTGCATCACATCACCCACATCACATCACATCACCCCCATCACCCCCATCACCCCCATCACCCCCATCGCCCCCATCACCCCCATCACCCCTATCACCCCCATCACATCACATCACCCCCACATCACATCACCCCCAGCAAGTAGGACCGTCAGCAAGTAGGTCTGAGGTGCACCGTGGGGAATGGCCTCAGGCAGCAGCAGCAGCACCTCGCGCCTCTGCTCCGTCCTCATAACTGGGGTTGTGTGGTAGTGGAGTGGGAAGGGGGGGGGGGAGGAGAGAGGGAGTGTGTCTTGTCTTTCACCCAAGGGATTACATTACAGTAAGACATGGTACAAACCAATGAAGTGGCCTCCAACCAACCCAGGCCACATGCCCACAGCCCTCTCTGAAGCCAGTAGACGCAACCTCAGCAACACAACACACTACCACATGACCATGCGATAGGCTGACACACTTGCTGAGTGGACGATGTGTATATCTTGCCAAATGGTGAAGCAGCTTGTGCTGAGATGGGGATGGGTGCAGGAGGATGGGATGGATGAGTGTCAAGGGAAGGAGGGTGAACACAGAGAGACTGGGATGAGATGAGATGAGCACAAGGCAAAGGAGGCATGGGTGCAGGGGGATGGGATGAGCACAAAGGGAAGGAGGGATGAGCGCAGGGGAGAGGGGTGAGCTGAGCACAAGGCAAAGGAGGGATGAGCGCAGGGGGAAGGGACGAGAGAATGGAAAAGGGATGAGAGAATGGAAAAGGGATGAGAGAATGGGGAAGGGATGAGAGAATGGGGAAGGATGAGGGCATGGGGGAAGGGTGAGGGGAAGGGGTGGGTATGAGCAGGGGGAAAGGTTGAGTACAGGGGAATGAGGGAGTGCAGAGGGAATGAGGGATGAACACAAGGGGATAGGGGATGAGCGCAGGGGGGAGGAGAAGGGAGCACAGGGGGGACTGATGGGAGCAAGGGGAATGCGCGACACGTGCAGGGGGGTGCGCGGCAAGGAGGGACGAACGACGGATGAATAAGAGGCGAGCGCAGGGCGGAAAAAGGATTAGAGCAGGGGAAAAAAGGATCAGCGCAGGCGGAACGAGAGGTGAGCGCAGGGAGGAGAAGGGATCAGTGCAGGGGGGATGAGCGGTGAGCGCAGGGGGAAAAATGGATCAGCGCACGGGAGGGATGCGCGCAAGGGAGGGATGAGCGCAGGGGGGACGGCATGCGAGCGAAATTTTGAATGGGGTGAGGAGCGAGGGACGGGGAGATGAGGGATGAGAGATGACGAATGAGGAGGCAAGAATGCTTACTACCAATCGCGTAAGGAGGGAGTGACGGCGAAGAGAGGGGGAAGGGGGATGGGAGCGGTGGGAAGTGAAAGGCTCGTTACCTTCCCAAGCTCTCGCCATCAGAGCACGTCACTGGAGCCATCAGAGCGCCGCGCTCAGATACTCGTTACTAACGCGCGGCGCGTCAGCCGCAGTGCGGATCACATGAACATAGCGTTCCTAGGGATAGCTGTAAAACGGCGAGATCGTGAGATTCATGGTTTAGGGTTTAGGGTTTAGGGTTCCGGGTTCCTAGGGTTCCTAAACCCTAAACCCTAGCGTTCCTAGGGATAGCTGTAAATCGGGCTTAGCGCGGAAGTGCGAAATTTCGTGACCGCTCGAGAATGCGCTCAACGAGTGAGCCCGCCGTCAGTAAGTTATATTTTTCGCAACGTAAGTTGCAATCGCTTCGCAACGTAAGTTATAAT